TGCCCTGCCAACTGGCGTAGGCGCTCATGCGTCTCCACAGACCACGATCCCTGGTTGTCTGGAACAGCTCTCTTGATGATATCCCTCCATGCCATCGTTTCAGCCCATCCAGCATCATCTCTCTTGGTCTGCCTCTATCCCTTTTTTTCCCACTGATCTTTCCAGTTGTCACGATGTTCTCCAATGTCTCTCTTCTCATTATGTTGCCAAAGAACAGTGTTTGTCTATTTCTGAACTCTAGGATGCGGGATATCAAGAGTTACACGTCAGCTCTACTACTACTCGTGGCACAGCTGGCAACACTGGCCGCTGGTCACCCTCAGTGCCTAGATTTTCGTGCTCCCTTTCATCCCGAAATCCCTTTAAACTTCTGCACCAATTATTCCGAACTTGGATGTTGTGGGTAAGTGAGATTTATGTCTGAAACGTGTCCGTTTTTAATAGATAAATAACTAGCCAGCCACAGGGTAAAGTCAAGAGATCGGTGAGCGGGCCGTCTATTGGCTCGCCAGTTGACGACTTCGTCGCCGAACGGGACAGGGTTTGGGTCTGTCTCATTTGATCGCATCAACACTGCAGGAGTCCTTTTCATGACTCCCAATGGCGTGCAATACTAAGCTTTTTAATATGGGGCACATAACCTAGTCACAATTATAACCTAAAGCTCCACCCTTCGAGGATGCTGGGTGAACATGACAATTTTTTTTTTCTCGAAAAAAGCACATACCTACCGTGGTAAAGTCGAGTCCAGCAATACCCTTCAGTCAGTGCCACCAATGGAGGTCAACCAAAAATTTCTGCCTACTTATGTAACGGCTTTGTAATTCCGACGCTGCATTACCGCGTCCATTTCCTAACCTCCAGTTACCAGCGGTTGTCGCATAAGCTGAAAATTTTAATTTTGTTCTGGTTGTTCGTCCACTCCTGGACTTTGGTCTTGATCCAGATTTTAGGTTTTGTATGCACATCTGTTTTACATATCTGGCTTATTTTTATACACACTGCTGGTTGTCTGCCTCTCACGCAGACTAACTTCGACTTTGAAGGAAAAACCCTCATTAGTCGTCTCCTACGACACTCTTGTTGTGGAAAGAAGGAACAAAAAAAAAAAGGGGGGGGGGGGCAGTAGGCCCATTGTTTGTTCTCCAAAATGGAGCCCCTGAACTCATACAGGTGATTTAACAAATAAACTGCTTTCTATATTGTTGTAACTGTCAGTAGTCGGAATAGAATGGCGTTGTGAGGAGTTACCAGGGGATCTGGCCGACGCTCAACACTCAAGGGAAGGGCGAGGAGGGTATACAATCAGACAGTTATTGATACCATTGGAACTGGAACTATTCGCTTTGCTGCTGAAGATGGGAACGAAGCGCTTATGGGAGTGTCTCTAGTGCTTTGATACCGATTCTTAATTTAACATTCAACATTCTAACTCTTTTAACATTCATTCAAATCCTCTATGAACTATTCTTCCACGTTTTTACCGGTCAATAGGTGTTTAAAGAGTTCTGGAGCGAGACTGATGCCCAAAACTTTCTGGTGGAGTTTACAGCCGGTGAAAGCGAAGAAAAGTCAAAGTAAAGGACTATTTTCCACGCCTTTAGGCGTATAGCGCAAGACCTATATTTTATAGACCGTTCGGTAAAAGATGGGTAATGTGGTCAACAGCACACCGGCTGCCTTTACTTCCTGGGACGGAACCCGGTACACGCTGAAATTTGGGTCGACCTGGGAGCTAAGGTCATTTTCGAAAAAATCTGGCCCCACCAGGGAACGAACCCTCGACCTTCAGATCCGCAGGCGGGCGTCTAGCCGCTCCGCCACGGAGACTGCCTATGAAATGTTGCAGGAATCAATAGCTGTACGCCAAGGGTGAAAAGACTGGAAGGACAGGATGTTAGATGAGGGCTGCTTTTCCTAAATCTTTAAAAATAAACTGTGTGCGTGCATTCGTTCTTGGATATTCAGGATTACTGAATTAATTTTTTTTTTTCCGTTTAAGATAGTAATAAATCAAACCCAATAATGTTTATAAATAGAACAGACTGCCAATTGCCAAACTGACTGACTGACTTTCTACCCCACCAGGACATCATACAAGCGATAAACACCCGATGACACAATGTGCCACCATGTGGGTGAGGATCGCCGTGGAGAGGTCCCAGAAACCGCGTTCAGCCTTTGGGCCATATTTATGACCTGACTATATTGCGGCCCCCGGCAAGAGCCAGAGTAGGGCTTTAAATAACAAAAAATTCCATCCTAAAAAGGATGGGAAATAATAACACCAATTGCCAAACTGTTAGTTACTGCCTTTATATGACACCTCTGCCGCTGATACAATAGAACAGACAACATAATATAAACATCATCAACAACAACTAAGTTGCTGGGTTGCCTTTGGAGACCATTTACGTTTTCTGACTTGGGCAGGATTTTTTTTCCAGTCGGGTTTTCTTTGGCATTAAGAAAAAATTTTCATTGCTTGCATTACTGAGATGGCGTATGCACATAAGGCAAAAAGCTAGAAAGAATGTTCTCCTACTGGGTACGGTATGCATGGCACACACTGGAAAGGCTACTACATCAGAAGACAGAACACGAATAGGTCGGACCGTTGTGATAAGATGTCGATATGGACAACAAGTCAGGGGAATTAAATGGGATGAAGTCAAGCATGATGACAAGGCAAATGTCTGTTAAACCACTAATATAAACAGTTATAAGGCAACAAAAAAAACGGCGGCATATTTCGCAAATCCTGAGAAGCTATCACAGAATTAAGAATCAGGCATTAAAATGGGGAACATGTGGACTGAGAACGTTCAAGGGCAACCCTGAAACTAACGTTGAATAGAGAGGCCAAATGTGCTAAACTGGATTCTATCCGTGACATCGACAAGACTGCACATGATAGAATGGAATGGAGCAATAGAGTGCGAGCCCTAAGTCAGATATAATAGTGCAGCGAGTAATAATGATAATATTGACGATGGTGAAAATGAGGGTGATGACGATGATGATGGCACATGACATTTACCACAGTCATCTGTATAGGGCTCATTAGGCCTCTTATAAAGTAATTTTCTTATCTCCGATATTTCTGTTATCCATATCTGCGTGGTCGACCTCTGGCTCTGTTACAGCTGTATCTGTATAACATTGCTCTCTGCCAGTCTTGTTACATGACCGACCATTTTTATGTTGTCCACCGATAAAGTTAAGTAGTGTGAAATCTATGATTTAATTTTTTTTTTTTTTATGTCACAGATTGAACGATGACGACACAATCAGGGAAGAATATGAATTCATCCGGTCACGTCTGCCAGAAGCTGATTGGGCACGTTGCCATGGTTACATACAGGCCATACTGTGTCAAAAGTGTTCCCCATTTGCGGCCCACATCTATGACGCCGAGGGGACTTCTAAGGTAAGTCAGAGTTGTTATCATGTTTTCTTGCGCGCGCGCGCGCACACACACACGTATTTATGCATTCCGACGCCAGCGTGCAGGCGTCTTTGTATGTATACATGTGTGTGTGTGTGTGTGTGTGTGTGTACAAACACGCGCACGTGCAATCCATCGTAGGCGTAGACATGTATGTTATGCAAGTACATGTAATCATACATGGATATCGCCATAGCTGTGTATGGATGTTTATAGTGCATACCAGCCATCTCGCCAACAACCTTCACTACGTATTAGAGTACTGAGCCAAGCCACTTGTGTTGGTGCAATCAACATTTCTTAGCCAACATAATTGGCACAAAGAAACCAGACCACAATTATAACCAATACTGCTATCAGTAGGTTGACCGTGGTCAATTTCTTCTGTTTTTTTTTTTTTTCGTTAATGGATGGATGATGACACACGCTGAGAAAGAGAGAGAGAGAGAGAGAGAGAGAGAGAGAGAGAGAGAGAGAGAGAGAGAGAGAGAGAGGGGGGGGGGGAGAACCTACTACCTCACCCAATAACTTAAAAATTATTCATTCACTCACTTTTGCTCACTCAGCCACTCACTAATTTTTTTACCCCCGAGACGAGCACACCTTCTTCTTCCTCCTCCTCCTTCTTGTTCTTTTCCTCCCCCTCCCATTCAAAGGTCCTTAAGCAACCAATATCAAACCCACCATAGTCTTATTGAGGGATAAGAAGGTTTTGTAAATTGCAACTAAAGTTCAATAGAGGTTGAGGTAGCCAGTGCCGGTCAACCTTCCCTTCTCGCTTCTTACCAAATGGTAGTATAGTAAACAGTAAATGACTATTTTAAGCCAGCGGCACTTATATATGAAACCCAGTATCACGCCTGCCGTCTTTACTTCCCATGACATTACATGATACTCGTTTTGTTTGGGTCGATCTGGGTAAATTTTAGGCAATAATTATTTTTCTTTGCTTCCCATATTAAACCCATTGTATACGACAACGTTAAAAGTGTCAAAAGTGGGGCGGCCGTCTTTAAACTGTGATTATGACGTCAACGTATTTCGTCCGCACCGTGAAGTGACGTGCTTATCAATTCTAGTGTCCCGAACAACAGTATTGATAGCCTGCCAGACAAAGTATAGTTACTGTGATTTCTATCGGAAGTCCCCCCATAGAAATGTTACTATTATCCTTTCCTACACATTCTATGTGTTTGTCGTAGTTGTAGTTGAGGTTGCAACTTTACTGCAGTCGGATTTCCCCATACTTGCTACGTTCCTGTGCCAGTGAAAATCAAATTAAATGTCACTCACTGTCTCATTTGGAAAAATTTTGAACAATTAGTCGCGGAACAGTCTAGAAATATGCGCACGCAGTAAATGCTTATGGCAGTTGCTAGAGGCTCCAGAGCCAACAGTCGCTACCAGAAATGCATTTTGTCATTGATGGAAGTAGTCGGACATGATAAGTTGGCTACACACGCGTATAATTATGACATAAGGTATTTCCACGTGTTTGTAAACAACAAAGCGACGTAGCTAGCTTGACACATTGTTCACTTGTCTCTGTCAGGCTCGCAAGTTTCCAGGTCTATGCATTAACTACTGTAACGACTTCTACGACAAATGCAGCGGAGCCGTCTGGTTTTTAGACTCTAGTCTTGCCAGCACAAGCATCGCAGGAGACAAGCACAGGTATGCACTGAAAGACACACTTTTTGGTATCGGTTTCTGCTGTGACTCGCTTTCAATATCTTATAAACTGATAGACTAATTCTTTGGTTTCTATTCTTCTACTTTTTCTTCTTCTTCTTCTTCTTCTTCTTCTTCTTCTTCTTCTTCTTCTTCTTCTTCTTCTTCTTCTTCTTCTTCTTCTTATTATTATTATTATTATTATTATTATTATTATTCACCTTCGTCTTTTTCTTCTTCTTCTTCTTCCTCTTCTTCTTCTTCTTCTTATTATTATTATTATTATTAACATTATTATTATTATTATTATTATTATTCTCCTTATTATTATTATTATTATTATTATTATTATTATTATTATTATTATTATTCGTCTTCTTCCTCCTATTCTTCTTCTTATTATTATCATTATTATTATTCGTCTTCTTCTTCTTCTTCTTCTTCTTCTTCTTCTTCTTCTTCTTCTTCTTCTTCTTCTTCTTCTTCTTCTTCTTCTTCTTCTTCTTCTTCTTTTTTTTTTCTTCTTTTTCGTCCTCTTCTTCCTTTTCTTCCTTATCTTTTTCTTCTCCTTCTCCTTCTCCTATTTCTTCTTTTTCTCATCCCGTCTTTTCTTCATCGTTCGATTCATTCCACTTTCCTGATTCTATAACACCATCCAGTTCCTTCTATTCTGCACAGGCGCCACTTAAGAAACTCAAATGAACTGATCGACACCTTCTTAAGTCTGTTCAGCAGCGATGGACTGACTAACTCTTAGGTCTTTTGTTTAATTATGGATCGATTCTTCAGTCTTTTATGTATCCAAACCGCGCGACGCTTATGAATTTGTTGAAGGGGGAATCTGAGCACCTACGGATGTGTCCGAAGTGCTGTGAAGATAATTTAACTCATAACTCATAATTCAGTACTAAATATATATAATTCGATATTAGTTTTTTTTTTCTTTTAAATAATTTTGTAATTTTTTTTAACCAGAAAATAGTTTCAATAGATGGTGCTACAATTAGGCAGTAGCTAGCAGTGGTTTGATAGTTGGAAACCCCCATCAAGACGAATTGTTACTGTTTGCCATGACTCCTAGGTGGGTGTTTCCCAACGTTGGGCCCACGCCGTTAGGAACATTTATGTTTTCCAATATGTTGCCTTTTTCTTTGCAATCTATAAGCCAGTCCACTTTCGACCTGACACGCAAGTAAGTTATCTTTGTATGCTGCTAATGTTTGTTTATATCCAACAGTTATGAATTAATCAAATAACAGAAAGTATTGTGAATGGCACTCATAGAAAGAAGTAGAAAGATAGAAGAACACACTAGACAACATAAAAATCGAAAGCAATAGTTACCGTGCCGGGAATTGAACCTGTCACCTCCAGACGGCGTCTGTTCCCCCCTCTGTTTATTTATCCAACAGTTAGCATGTTAAAGCACGGGCCAGGGTTACTTCCCTCTATCTCTCCCTCCCTATCTTTGTGTGTGTGTTGTATGTGTATGTATGTATGTGTGTGTGTGTGTGTGCGTGCGTGTGCGTGTGAGTGAGACACATTCTCGTTTTGATTACAGGTTCTGTAAGCAGGTGGCTATAGCAGACGATGTGTACTGTTACCCTGACCTGCTCACCAGTCCTCTGCTTCTCCGCAACCTTACGACTATTCATCAGCAGCATACCAGTAGCACATCGGGTTGTCTCTGCTTGGAGCCCATCAGGGACAACTTGGCCAACCCTCTGTGGGCCCGACATGCAGGCGATGGTTCTGGTAGGCTGTTTGTTGCTGAGCAAGTAAGTCGTCTTTGTACGGGAAAATGCAGTCTCTCTCTCTCTCTCTCTCTCTCTCTCTCCCTCACTCTCTCTCTTTCTCTCTTTCTCTCTCCCTTTCTTTCTCCCCCCTGTCTCTCTCCATCTCTTTCTCCCTCGCTCTATCTCTATGTGCGTGTGTGTTTATGTCTCTTTCCCTCTTTGTGTCTCTGCGTCTGTTTTGCCATAGAAAAGATAGAGCTGGGAGAGGGGAGGAATGAAAGCAACTAAAAGACTGAAAGAGAGAGATTGTCTGATAAAGAATGTGTATGTGAAATGGATAGTTAGGGTGTCAGTGAGATTGGGAGATAAATAAAGAGATGGGGCAGTTTGACTAGAAAGAAAGAGAATCAGAGAGAGAGAGAGAGAATTAGACAAAACAGGTAGCGAGTCTGAGAAAGAGAGAGAATGAGAGAGCAAAAGAATGAGAGTGAGAACGGGAAAATGAGAGAAAGAGGGAGGGGAAAGGGAAAGTGGGAGAGACAGAGAGAATGAACATGAGAGAGTGTCGGTCTGCGTATACGAGACAGAGTTTTTTAGAAAGTGGGACAGTGAATGCAAGCAAACAATAGAATGAGAGTGAGAGAGAGAGAGTGTAAATGCAAATGTGTGTGTATGAGTTTGTGCCTGTCAAGCAAATGTACTTTGACTTGCAAGGAAAAGCCCCTAATTAGGCAACTCTTGCAACATGCTTAGTGGAGGGCATTAAGTCTCCCCCCCCCCCCCCCCCCACCCCCTTTTTTTCCCTTGGGGCTCAGAAATCCACACGAGGAACCGGACAACAAATTGTATAATCGTGTGCTTGTGTCTTCTTTGTTGGAATTTGTTAATATTCGGCATTGTTTTCATCTTCTCACAGCAAGGTAGAGTGCGAATATACAATACCAAAACAAAACGATGGAACAAGAAATGTTTCCTAGACTACACAAACAAGACTTTGGTGGGCAGATATGCTGGCGATGAACGCGGTTTTCTGGGAATGGCTTTTCATAGGAACTATTCTAGAAACGGGCGCTTCTTTGTGTATTACGTCACCAGAAGAAGAGCCGACGATGAGCTACCACCAGAACTACAGGATCTACCCTTTCCCTTCCAGACGAAAGTTGTTATCAGCGAGGGAAGAGTCTCCAGGTCAAATCCTAACAGGGCTGATCGTAAATTTGAGAAGGTTATTCTGGAGGTGATACAGCCGTATGACAATCATAATGGAGGCGAGGTAAGCTAACGTTTATTGTAAAGCCTTTACAGGACATAGCAAACAGTGCCGATGCGTGATCAGTTTGCATGCGTAAGCGTTAGCAGGTAACGAAAACACTGAGATGGTATAATGTGATATTTTCTTCCTCGCCGATTCGATGTTGGAAGTATGCGTGCGCAGCTAGTAACGTAGTACTAGTAATTGGTAGCTTTCTTACGTTACAGTTTCTGCGTAAGTGGTCTAGGCATGAAGCGAACATTTTTTTTCCGCTATGCTTACGAGACGTGAACGGAGTTGCCTATTTGTAATAAATAGTAAAAAGTAATAATAAACGGTAAAATACTGTATTTTTCTTGTGCAACGGAATATATAATGTCAAAGTCTCTATCCCCACGCAACAAGATCTAAATATATAAAACGTTGATAGGACCAATTGTTTTATATGGCTCTGAAACTTGGAGCAGAACGAAAAGAGATGAATGAAACCTTATTGCAAATTTTAGACAACAAAGTCTTACGAGGAATCTTTGGGGAATGGAGAGTGAGAAGCAACAACGAAATTCAGAATCTGTTGAAATCACCTCATTTTTGTTGCAAATATCGTCTCATGATTCCAACTGGATGTCTTCACCGCAGTGTTAAATTTATGGGAATAAAAGGAAATTACAACTAATAATAAACTAAAAACTTTTAATTCTAATGTCAAATCAGTACTGCTAAATGGATTAGAAACACGAAAAACATCTGAAAACAATTACTAATGAACTACAAACATTCGTTAACTAGTTCCTGTGCAGGATTTTTAAAAAACCAGCGAATTAAATGGTATGATATAATTGCCAGTATTGCGCTTTTGGAGAGAACAAATCAAATCACAGTGAATCAAAAGGTGAGGAAAAGATGCTGGTGTTGAAAAAGGCACACTCTAAGAACATTATAACTAGAATGTGTTTGCACAGAAACCGACAGAGGCGTAGAAATAAAGGCAGACCAGCACATGGAGAAGACAGCTAGAAAGTGAAGCAGTGAGGACATGGGATGAGCTGTCTAGAATAGCAAATGATGAGACGAGTTGGCGTCAGCTGGTTGAGAGTCTATGCTCCAATGGGGCTTGGGAGGCAGCAGAAGACGAAGGTTCCAGTTACTCACCCTCAGCTGACCTTGAAATCGTCTCTCTAGGCCAGAAACACTTATTCCGAGCAAGCTTGCGAGTTCCTACAACTGAGTGCAAGATGTTGATGCTGACTATCTGTCCTCATCGTGGGGAATCTTCTCCTTCGTCGCTCGCCTATGGACTTCCGCGTTGGTGTTGGTAATGAAATCAGTAGCCATTTTCAGATTTCGGAGATATCTCTTGTAACAGCACTGCGTACAGCGTGTGAATCCTCGACTGACGTTCTTCAAGCAGAATCCGTGGTTATTCCTTCATTTGGTCTAAATGTTGTTGAAAATAGGAATGTCTGCAACAGCTATAATACTGCAATCTTCTTCTTCGTATGGTCTATGTCGGTCGGCGTCGAAGGTCATGTCTGTCTATAACCTTCTGTCTCGTGAACTTTCAGTCAGTTCTAACACAGATCTTCTTTCATTCCATGATTTCACACTGTTCAGCATAGTCTGTCTCGGCCACCCCTTGCCTCTCTCCCTCTCCAACCTTCCCGAGATCACAGTAGACTCCAGTTGTGTCCTTGTTGTGCCATGACCAAAGAAGGCAAATGGTCGCCCTCAGATGTGAGTCACTTTCTTTCAAACCATGTTCATTACTCCTTTTATCTGTCCAGGGTATTCTCATCATTCGCCTATAAAACCACATCTCCGCCGCTTCCACATAATTTGTGACTAATCGGCCAACTGTGGGTAATTTACTTCTGTATATCAGGATAGCGTCGGCTCTGTGGCTAAGTCGATGCGAACGCTTCGTAATGCCGGGATGCCGAGTTCGATCCCAGCTGCGGGCCATGCGCCTTGCGTTAGTTTCGACAGTGGTATCAAGAAAGCCGACCTATAGAAAGCAATGGCAAACTACTGGACGTAAATTTGCCTAGAAAAACTACTCAACAGCCAGAGGCTGTTGGGGTTGGTTCTGCAACGTCCTGTAATGGATTCACAACTAACCTTATATCAGGATAGCACTTATGTAGTTTTTGAGAATTCTCGTTCTCGCCTCAACTGACAAAGAAAAATTGCATAGGACATTCTCCTTTTTGCTAAATTCTGCTATTGCTTGAGCTATACTACACTGAACTCCCATTAATACATCTTCTATCTGACATTATCAGGGTATTCAAGTACCTAAAAGTATCAGCTTGCTAGAAAATTGTAGCATTTACTTTGATGGTGAATTCTAGAGGGTCAGTTTTCTTTGTAATTACCATTACTTGTTTGTTTGTTTTTTTTTTTTTTTTTTTTGCTGTTTAAACTTTGACCCGTGTTTTGACTTTATGTTACAAAATATGATTAGAAGTCATAGAATGAAAAAAGAAAAGCACACACGCATGCACAAAAAAGTTTACATTAAAATCATTTTCAGCGAGAAATCAACAAAAGTCTACACCACAAAAAAAAAAAAAAAAACAGTCTTAGAGACACTGTGAAAGAAAATTAAAAGTAAAAAAAAAAAGAAAATCATATGGAGAAACGGAACACACACACACAAACAAAAAAACACACACAAACACACCACACATAAAATACTCCGCCTATTATCTTGTTCTGACATTGTTGAGAGATGTGGTTCTGTGTCGAGCTGTTTGATGCAGCGTGAGCCCAGTTATCTGCTCTTTTCTCCCATAGCTGATGTTCGGCCTTGATGGATACTTGTACGCTTTCATCGGAGACGGGGGAGGAGCAGGTGACCCAATGAAAGCTGGACAGAACAAGTAATGCAGAATCTTGATTACAATTATTGTCTCTTGTTTTAAGACATGTCGGAACTAAGCCAAGCACCCTTTCCCGCGTCCTGGGGAGTAGTGATTATATAGTAAAAGTGAAGGACATTTTCCACGCCTTTATACATTGAGCATCATCATCATCATCATCATCATCATCATCATCATCATCCTCATCATCATCAGGTGCCTTGCCGACTGGCGTGGGCGATCATGCCTCTTCATAATCCACGATCTCCTGCAGCATGTATCAGTTCGTGTGCCGACACACCTCCATGCCATGCAACAAGACTGTCAAGAATTTTCTCTCGTTGTCTTCCTCTATCCCTCCTTCCACAGATTCATTGAGCATACATGACTAAACCTATATATATATATAATAAACTAATCCTCACCCAGTCAGTGATGTGGTCAACACCACCGTGGCCTCCGTTACTTCCAAAAACATAAAATGGTACGAATTTAGGGCTGGGTCGACCAAGAAGCCAAGGTCATTTTTTTCAAACTGGCTTCGCCAGGATCTGAACCCAGGACTTTAAGATCTGGCGCCTAGCCGCTACACCACGGCGACTCTCAGTGTGTATACAGCACTAGCTCCATAGTTGTTATAGATGAGCTGGCACTTGATGACTGGTGTGGTCAGTATCAAGCAGGTTGCTCTAGCTTCCAAGAAAATTTTCTCCTTTCCATTTTAGATTGTGTCTGCAGGAGAGTTGAGTTCATTATCTAACAACAGTATCCCCTAACTACATAGAAATTAGGGAACTCATAAGCAGCTGTTAGAAGCTCACTTTCCGGTCCCAACGTCTTGGGTTCGAATCAACATCCAGTCGTATTTATTTCTTCAAAACTGACCATGACACCTGGGTGGAGCTGATCTCAACTTGGTACCAGGTAACGTCCTTGCAGTAAAGGACATAGGGGTTAGTTAGCAGGGTGTTGATCACATCCCCTCCGCGAATGGGTTAGGGGCCCTTGTGAAGGAATTCCGTAAAAGTCGGCTAATTAGAGATGCTTTTTTTTTTTTTTGAAGTCCAGGTTAATTTGCTTGAAAAGTGAGGAGTCAACAGTCTGCATAAAAATAAGCCAGATGTGTAAAACGGGCGAGAACTCAAAGCAAAAAAAAAAAAAAGCAGCAGAGAATTAACTGGCTTATGTCGCGTTCATCTTTTAGCATTCGGGACAGTCTTCAACTTCAACATGAAGGATGGATTAGGAAAGGGATCGAAACGGCAAGTCATCGGAGATTTTGAAATATATTATTATAGCTTCTGTATATTTCCCTGTTCTTAAAATGTATTAACTCCTTGCTGATTAATAATAATAATAACAACAACAACAAAAATAAACTCTTTAACAAATTTCTTTCCTGGATGTAGGATAGGGGTTGGTTAAGCTGACCTGAATGGGATGTGCTGTCCCGTTTTTAACCCGGAATATTAGTGTAATATGGTTTATATTATAGTATATAACACTATATATAATATATTATGAATTAATCAAGTAACAGAAAGTATTGTGAACGGCACTCATAGAAAGAAGTAGAAAGATAGAAGAACACACTAGACAACATAAAAATCGAAAGCTATAGTTACCTTGCCGGGAATTGAACCTGTCACCTCCAGACGGCGTCTGCGCCTCGCCATGAATACAAGTGCACTAAGATACATGGTCAACTAGGCACCCCCAAAATAAAGGTGTCTCATTGGCCATGTCTATCGTACAGCTTGAAATCCACGACTATGGAATACGGACAGAATTCATTTCAACCCATTGAAATGGCACCATAGGTTACAGAAATTTTATATTGACGAAGCAAATGTCGAATAACAATCACAGCAACAATTTACGAACACAGTAAGACCTTATTGCTTTGTCTAGAATACACAAACATTTAAGAAAGGTATTTGATTGGTAGGTTGTGTCATGTTGTGTTTTTTCATCATCATCATTCCTCTCGGTATGCCTTGTGGCTTCAGAGAGGACTTTCCGTGCGATCTTGTCCTGCTTATTTATATATAATATATGATTATATTATATTATATTATATTATATTATATTATATTATATTATATTATATTATATTATGTTATGTTATATTATATTATATTATATTATATTATATTATATTATATTATATTATATTATATTATATTATATTATATTATATTATATTATATTATATTAAATTATATTATATTATATTATATTATATTATATTATATTATATTATATTATATTATATTATATTATATTATATTATATTATATAATATTATATTATATTATATTTTTCATATTGTATGTTAGTAATATTTTAGCTTTTTGATTTTTATGTTGTCTAGTGTGTTCTTCTATCTTTCTATTTTTTCTATGAGTGCCGTCAATACATTGTCTATTTGTTTATTACACAGAATATTAATGGGATGTCCTATGTTCAGCTCAACCTTTTATGGTCGCCCTGTTGTTTACCCGTAACTGCTACATCTGCCAGGTATAACTAGCAGTGGTACATACCACGAAAATCACCCCATGTCGTCGGGCGCGAGATTTCCCACCGGCTATAATATGTTCTACGGTGTCATGTTGTGTTTTTTCATCATCATCATTAGCTCTCGGTATGCCTTGTGGCGCATAAGGCTTCAGAGAGGACTTTCCGTGCTTTCTTGTCCTGTGCAATCTTCAGTGCAGTTTTCCATGTCAAAGATGCCGCACTCAGGTCACTTTCCATCGGTCGTCTGCACGTTGTTTTTGGGCGTACCTTTTTTCTCATTCCCTCAGGTATTCATGTGAGAGAGGTATATCAGTATTCATTCAAAAAACGTGGCCAAGTCATTTCCATCTTCTCTTGGTTAGCATACTGTCTAGAGTTTCTTGGTTTGTGACTTGAATTAGTTTAGTGTTTGAGATTGTATATAGCCAGAACATTTTGATAATTCTACATAGACATGTGTGGTATAAGGTGCATAGCTTGTGTTCATCATTTTTTGGTCATTTTCCAGCATTCTGCTCCATAAAGACCGAAAATAACGCTATAAGTATTATGTATTCCACGTAGGGAGTGGCCGGCACACGGCGTGAATGGGAGGCGTCACGAAACCTCGCGCCCGACGAGATGAGGTGATTTTCGCTATATATACCCTATCAGTCCTATGAGGATAAAGATGTTAATGGCATAACATTTGTTATGTTATTACAATAGATCATTGCTTCACGGGAAGGTGCTCCGACTGGACGTGGATTCTGATCTGACAAAACCTTACAGTATCCCATCGGACAACCCATTTGTGGGAGAAGTTGGCAGCCGGCCGGAGATTTTTGCCTATGGCATCCGCAACATCTGGAGGTGTGGACTGGATCGTGGAGGTAAATGTTGTTTATCTGTCACATTAATTCCGCCTGTCTTCACACTGAAAGCTTACTGCAACATCGGCATCATGTCCAAACTAAATAACTACAGTCAGTTCAAGAAGTTCTGCCCAACTTAAAAACATCTGTAACTGAGAAACCGGTGGGTGTCAGTTGTTGAAATTTGATATGCAACCTAAAAAAAATCACCTCCTTGTAAGATTTTTTTTGTAAACTAACATCTAGTTTTCATTTTGCCTTATTTGCGGTGTGTGTGTGCGTGCGTGTGTGTGATTTAAACGGTTATCCAGACTTCTTCATCTTCTTTTTCTTTTCCTTCTTCTTCTTCCTCTTCAGCATTCCGAGCTTCTGAGATTCATTGCTGCAGACATAACCCAACACCAATAATTTCTATGGTTTGCTTTTTTGTTTCCAGTGTTTGTAGGTCTGTCTGGATATTATTTCTCCATCTACTTCTTGGTCTTTCTCGTGGTCTACGACCATTCAACTCACTTGCGTACACAGTTTTTACCTCTCTGTCATCTGATATTCTCTCTATATGTCCCAGCCATTTCAGTCTATTCACCGTCACGAGGCCAGTGTTTTCTTGACCTGTCTTCAAATATCTCAGTTTATGTTCATCATCTCCCATTTGTTTTCTAATGTATTTCTTTTTCTTTCCATGCCTAAGTAGTTACACAATCTTCACTGCGTAAACATTTAAATAGCTTTAGAATTAAATATACGGTAACTTGGTTTTAAACCTATATAATTTAGAGTTCCATAATTCTCTGCTCATTACAGGCTTTAAAAGCCGAATTAGTTCTTTCTTGCAATTGTTTATGAAGTTCTTCAGTGACATTTTCCAGACAATGGTCGATGTGACCCTCCACAATTTACAGTCTTCGTCTCTGAAACCATAATTCATTGATTGATGTTTCACCTTACTAGGACATCACACAAGCGATGAACACCCAGTGACACAAAGTGCCACCATGAGGATGAGGATCACCCGTGGAGAGGTCTCAGAAACTCAGTTCAACCAATAGGTTGGCTTAGATATATGTGGTTCTGTGACGAGCTGTTTGGTGCAGGCGTGTGATATGTGGTTCTATGACGAGCTAGTGGTGTCTTATTCAATATTGCATGAGCAACTGAAGGCTTGTTGTAATTGCTTCTCCCATCGACGATGAACAAAAATTTTAGAGTCTGTTTAAACCCCCACCCCGCCCAACCCCTTACCCCCACCCACCAGCCCCACAAGGATTGGTCATGGTCATCCTGTGTGGTTTTCACAGGCAGAGGAACGAGACAACTGTGGAATGATGACCTTGAAGACTGGCTGACCAAAGGACACGTTTTCATGCCGTGATGTTCTTAAAGTGTAGTGCAAATTGGTGGATATCGTCATTCCTGTTAAGGGGCATACCGTTTGTTGAAGCTGCACAGATGCAATCGTCATACTTAAACAGTTGATAGAAAAGAACATCGAATATGATTAGACGTTATTTGTAGCATTTGACCATGAGAAAGTTTTCGGCAGGGTCGATAGACAAAAATTATGGAACGTAATGGCTCGATATGTCGGCTCTATGGCTAAGTCGATGCGAACGCTTCGTAATGCCGGGTTCGATCCCAGCTGCGAGCCATGCGCCATGCGTTAGTTTCGACAGTGGTACCAAGAAAGCCGACCGTCCAGGAAGCAATGGCAAACTACTGGACGTAAATTTGCTTAAAAAAAACCACACAACAGCCAGGGGCTGTTAGAGTTGGTTCTGCAACGTCCTGTGAAGGATACGCAACTAACCTAAAGGCTCGATATGGAATAATTGAACACCTCATTAAAGTTTCCAAAGCTTATTTGGAGATTGTAGAAGCGTAGTTAGAATAAATCAGGGGACATCCAAACCATTCAAAGTAACATCTGGAGTAAGACAGGGAACTGTCTTATCACCACTCATGTTTATCACCTACATTGACAGTATAAGCAAGGATGCCAAGCCCAGGAAGGAAAATAATAGTAACATCAACGGATTACTCTTTGCTTGCTGCTGAAGATGGGGACAGAGCTCTTATTAGAATGTACCCAATGTTATAGTTTCGGTTCTTATCATAATTCATGACTTATAAGTTTTACTTCAGTTTGCTGATGTTTTGTCATATCATCTTAATGTTCTTGTGCAGAAGGCGATCCTCAATGACTGTTTCAGGTGAGTCTAAAGGTCAGATTGTTTGCGGGGACGTGGGTCAAAATGCCTTTGAAGAGATCGACGTCATAAAGAAGGGAGCTAACTATGGCTGGAATGCCAGGGAAGGATTTGAGTGCTATGATGATGAATTATGTGGACGGATAGGTGAGTTCATCGCTATCGGCTTGGGGACAGTATTTGGGTCCGTCTCCTTTGGTCGCATCAACACTGCAGGAGTTCTTTTGGTGGCATGCAATTCTTAGCCATTTTAAATGGCGCACTTAACCTAGTCACAATTATACCATAAAGCCCCCCCCCCCCCCCACTTTTTTCCCCCTTCTTTTTCGGGAATGCTGGTTGACTGTGGCAATATGTGTTTGTTTGTTTGTTTGATTGTTTGTTTGTTTGTTTGTTTGTTCCCGCAAGCACCTGGCCACAGTCAATGGCAACACATTATGGTAGATAATTTTCATTAATTATCCCCCTCCTCCCCCCCCCCCGTAGGCTCCTTGGTCCCATTTGAGGTGGGTGTGTGGAAATAGACCCACTAGACCTACTACCCCTTAGAAAGCATGTCTTATAAGGCGACCAACTGGGTGTTTGCAAAAAACGGATGTATTTTGCGAGAATGTGGTTAATGTGGTTAATATGACACTTACATTTTCTCGAACAGTTCAGGGTCTTCTTCTTAAGTCCATGCCGAGTAGCGTTGGTAGGCATGTCTAAGCAGAACCTTCTGTCTCGTCTCCTTTCAGTCAACTCTGACACAGATGATCCTCCAAGCCATGATATCAAACTGTCCAGCTTATTCTCTCTCGGTCTCCCTCTGCCTCTTCTCCTCTCCAACTTTCCTACTGTCACAATGTACTCCAGTTTTCTCCTTCCCATCGCGTGACCAAAGAATGTAGATTGTCTCTTTCTGATGTGGACAGTCAGTTCTCTTCGTGGGTCAGTTTCTTTCAAGACATCCTCATGGTAGACATCTCCAAGCTAAATCGACTCAGAAGCCTTAGCTGATTTATTTTTAAAACCTACCTCTAGAGAATGGCAGCTGTCGTGGTGTAGCAGCTAGCCGGTCGACGCCGGATCCAAAGGTCGTGGGTTCGGGTTCTGAGGGTGCCGGACATTTCTTTTCAATAATGAACTCGGATCCCAGGTGGACCCAGCCTTAAGTGGGAACCAGATATAGTCCTGGGAAGTATAGGCGACCGCGTGATATTGACCACATCACCCACCGGCTGCCGATTGTCTATAAAATATAGGTCCAGCCTTATATGCTAAATGCGTCTAGAGGCGTGAAAAGGGGTGCTTTACTTTGCTTCAGCCCTGGAAATATGAAAACCTTGTACTACAAACCATCCCCTTCGATGTGAAGACGACACTTCATTGATTAATTATATTATCTGTTTCTTCCTTTTAGCGTCTGCCTCCTGTAAACTCCGACAGAAAGTTCTGGTTGTTTGTGCACTTCTCGACTGTTGTCTTGATCTAAAACTCAACTTTTACGTGCACATCGGTTTTAGATATCTAGCTAACTTGTATGCCGACTATTTGTTCCTTTCCCCTCAGCCACTTATAATGAAACATCCCCAAATAGTCGATTTTTACGACATGTTTGTTAGCTGAAATTTAGTCTATTCATTGTAATGCCGGGTTGCCGGTTTCGATCCCAGTTGCGTACGATTTGATTTGCGTTGGTTTCGACAGTGCTACCGAGAGTTGAACGTCAGTAGGCAGTGGCTAACTACTGAAAGTTAACTTTGCCTAGAAAAACCACAACACCCCCCCCCCCCCCCCCACAAAAAAAACCCGCTGGGGTTGGTTCTGCAACGCCCTGTAAAGGACATGCAGCTAACTTTTATATATATGCATATAATTGTTGACTGAATTGTGTGTATTGTATCCTTTATCAGGTCGCGAAGAACTTCCTGTTCATGCCTATGCACATGGGATTGGTCAGTCTGTGACTGGGGGCGTGTTCTACCGTGGTTGTGAAAACCCCGCCCTACTGGGACAATACGTGTATGGAGATTATGTCAGTGGGTGAGTCAATTGCAGTAAAACTGATGTTATTCTCAGCAGACCCAGCCCATATACACACTAGCTCACTTCTGATTGGTAGTTGCTGAGCCCCGTGTCTTTCGCACAAGGTTACGGGGGTGTTCCGCAATGCCGTCAATATCGCGTTTTGTATATTTCAGCACGGCAACGCTTTTAACACCCCAAAAACATGGAGAAACTGGGTCTAACACAACTCCCCTAGAGAATATTGCAACGTCTGTCACGGACATTCTCTTTCTCGGAATGAAAATGTAAATGCAAGGCATCGCAGAAACCAAACAACAGAACGGCACACACACGTAACCTTCAGGAAAGTCGACCAGCCCAATAAACTTGTGAATGAAAAGTGACCTACTCTATTTGGAGAGACTAATGTCAAACTAACCGTCAATTGCTTTACCCAGTTAGTAATAAGTAGCGAAAAACTACATTTTAATTGCTGTGTGTCTTAAATAAAAAGAAAAATAAACCTGTTTTAGAAGAAACTGACTCACACATCAGAGTGAGACAATCTATATTCTTTGGTCATGCTAGGAGAAGAGGCAAACTGAAATGCATTATGACAATAAGAAAGCTGAAAGGGTAGAGAGGCAGACGGAGACTAAGAGAGAAGATGTCGGACAGTCTGACATCATGGCATGGACATGCATCTGCGTCAAAATTGATTGAAAGTACGCGAGACAGAAGGTTGTGGAGAGACATGACTGCCAACGCCACACGGCATGTAGGATTACAAGTGATCTGCTTACAAGTGAAAACAACGGCAGCCGCTGCTTACATAACATCGATTAAAACGGAACAGCAGAAAGCTTTCTGAAGACAACAGTACACCGGGACACCCCTCTAACATAAACCAGACTGAGCAAGCATCACTGACAGGTCAGCTTGCATGTAGCTGGGCCCGAGTTCGTTACTAGTAATGAAATAATATAGACTCCATTCAAAATATAGCGTCTACACTGGTTAGGATGGGGGCGCTGAGCATCTTCACAGAATTTTACGGGGTTGGTGCTGTGTTCAAGTTGCGTGACCCTTTCCATTTTACACTTCTACTAACCCCCATCTCCCCCTTTTCTCCCCAGGGTCCAACGTCCCTGAGTGTGGGTAAGTCACTATGTCACATCTCCACTGTTGTATGTTGCAGCCGCTTGTTCTCCCTGACGGAAGCTGGAGGAACCTGGACAAACAAGGATGTGACCTTGTGTGGTCCTTCATTGTGTCAAGGCCAGTTTGTCGGACACTTGAACGATTACATATTATCATTTGGTGAAGATGAAGATGGTATGTGGTGTCTTCTTCACGTCTTTAATAGCAGATTAGGGCCTGTTCACGTTTCCCAGCCCATCTACACATCTTCTTGATCTGATCTAGGTCAGAGGGGTGTCACGTTGTACTGCTTACTTCAAAAGAATCTCTCGCGTGACCTAGGCTCACCTATGGGTAGGGGAGTTTGGGTTAGAGCCAGTTGTAGATGTACTGGGGTGGCTGTAATATAAAACACGCGACACCGACGCTGACGCAATTGGAGCCAAGACAACGTGACACCCCTCCGACATAGAAGAGTTTGAAAAAGTATGAATGAAAGGTCAGCCAGTGTGTAGATAAGCCTGGAAAAGTTAACCGGACCGTAAATTGTTGTCTTGTGGTTTCTGTTTCTGTCTGCCTGCTTGTCTGTCTGTTTTTCTACATGCCTGTCTGTCTTTATGTCTGTCGCGCCCCTGCTTGTCCATTCACCTGCCCATGCCTGCTAGTATGTAGAAAAGGGAGCAAAGGAAGAAAGCGTGTATGTGAGAAAGTAAGACTGCGAGTAGCATTGTGTGTGTTTCTATGAACGAAAGATAGTGTGTATAGAAAAGACAGCATTGAATAAAAAGGAGAAGTCATATGAAACATACTTTGTGGGGGAAGGGAAGAAGAGGAGGAGGATAGGACAGAAAAGGGTGTGCAGGTATGGAAGAAAGTAGACAGACAGACAGACGGACGGACGGACGGACGGACGGACGGGCGGGCGGGCGGACGGACGGACGGACGGAGTACAATAAGAGATGTTGTTGCTCGGTTGAATATTGCATTGCTAGAAATCTTTGCATGTTGCGTCGTTAGACCACTGTCAATTGTTTAAGGCCAGAAATCCCTTAATATTACATCGCTAAGAATCTTTGAATGTTTCATTGTTAGACCTCTTTGAAAGTTACGTCGCTAGCAAACCTAAACATTACATCGTTAGAAATCGTTGAATGTTACATAGTTACAATTCTTTGAATGTTACATTGAAAGAAATCTGTGAATGTTATATCGCTAGAAAGCTTTGACAGTTGCATCACTATAAATCTTTGAACGTTATATAGCCTAGAATCTTTGAATGTTACATCGTTAGGAATCTTTGAATATTACAACTCTAAATATCTTCTTTGAATGTTACATCGTTAGACTTCTTTGAACGTTACATAGACTCCTTAGAATGTTACATCGTAAGACTTCTTTGGATGTTGTTACATCGTTAGTCTTCGTTGAATGTTACTTAGTTAGACTTCTTTAGATTTTTTTTTTCTAGGCATCTTTGAATATTAGATCGCTAGAAATCTTTGAAGGTTGCATAGTTCGACCTCATTGGATGTTACATTGTAAAAAATCTGCGAAAGTTACCACATTAGGAATCTTTGAATGTTATAATTCTAAATATCTTTGAATTTTACAGCATTAAACAACTTTGGCTGTCGCAGCACAACACATGCTTGAATTTTTTGTTAAAACGCTGTAAATCTTTGAATGTTACAATACTATAAATCTTTGAATGCTACAACATTAGAAATCACAGAATGTTACAACTTTGAATGCTACAACATTAAACATCTTTAAATGTTACATTACTGGGAATCTTTGAATTTTACATAGCTAGAAATCGTTGAATGTTATGTCTCTGGAAAATGTGAATGTTACGGCAATAAACAACTCTAGATGTTACAGCACAAGAATCTTTAGGTGTTACAGTATGAGACATCTTTAAATGTTACAGAACTAAATACATCTTTGCATGTTACAACATTAGAAATCGAAGAATGTTACAACTTTGAATGTTACTGCACTTGACACCTTTTAATGTTACAAAGCGAGAAAGCAATGCCTTTTATTCATCATTGGTATGTATGTGTATGTGTATGCGCCTGTCTATACTCGTTTACTTGTTACATTTCGGTAACATATGTAATTACGTTGATGTTTAACATAGTGTATGTTTAGGAGAAACGACCCATCTGCTTGTAGCTCTGACCTGACCCACAAAACAAGACTGGCTTTACCGAAGAGAAAGGTCTTCCTGGAAACAGGTATGTAGGAATCTAATTTGATTGAAACATGTAGGATGAAACATATGAAAATTAACATCGAAAAACCCATAGACGTTTCTACAATTGTAGGAGCAAATCAACCGATCAAGATATGCAAAAATTACCAATAGCTCAAGCAAGCAAAAGACTTCTAGTATATAGGAGGCATAATAGAACAGCATAACCAGAATGTCTTTGCATTGGAACCCACAGAGGCATGGGAATAAAGGAAGGCCAAAAAAACATATGGAGAAGAGAGCTGGAGAATGAAGTTAGAAAGATGGGGAGGACATAGGAAGAGCTCCATGCAATGGCGAAGGATAGAACTACTTGGCGTGATTTGGTTGAGGGCCTATAACTCCATTGGGGGATAGGAAGGCACAAGAAGAAGATCGTAAAAAAATGGAAGCAGAGATAGAATATAGATGTAAAGTAAATAAAACCATAGGATTGATGTCACCATATTGCAGAAGTTATAAAAACCAAACGAAAAGTAGACTTTACAGCGGGACGAACACAAACGGAAAGTGAACGTTGCAGTTACTGATCTTCATCAGCACATTACATAAATCAAACAAAACCACACGAATCCACAGTATTGCTTAACTGATGTATCCTGAAACAGCTAAGTTGAAGTTTTGCCAGTGGAATTAAAAAGACGCGTGTGGTCCAAGAATAAATAGTCCGAAAACGCCACTAAGATTCCCATTTATTTTAAGTTTGTCTTGTGTTCTCCGATGGCAATAATGCTCCTGAAATCCAAAGCTGTAATTTATACGACTTTTCTTTTAACGTGGGAGGGATTTGCTCGTCACACTCGCTACCGACGTGAGTTGTTTTATGTCCATACCTCCCAACAGCAAATAATCGAACGGTGCTAACAACTTACCTCAAACGTCAGAGAGAGAGAGAGAGAGAGAGAGAGAGAGAGAGAGAGAGAGAGAGAGCGTGTGTGGGCGTGTGTGTGTGAGTGCGAGTGCGCGGGTATGTGCGCGTGCGGGCTATTCTTTCTATGAACGTATATCGATTACTTACATATTTTTCTCAGGTCAAGCCAGTAGTAATATGCCCTTCTCCGTCAACATACGAACAAGGACAGTAAGATATAAAGACAACGCGATCTTACATAAAGACAATGCAACATTCTATACAGAGGCGCTAACATTACAACATTCTTTCGGGGGACAACAGCTGCATAACAGCCATGACGAACGTCGACATCAACACATACAGTTCTCGGCATCTTCATCATCTTCACCCTATAAACACACGAGAGGTCTGGGTTCAAAACATAATGCGTTTAGCGAGAACTACTCTGCTGCTGTTACTACCTTGCCAGTGATTACTGACTCCAGCAGACTTGAGTCAAACCGGGAACAGGAATCTAGTAGAGAAGAAACACAAGGTCATCAACGGGATTCTGCTATTCTACCACCAGTGCAGAAAGGCAAGTCAGGGGCGGGTAAATCAGGGAAGGGGGGTAATCATAAACAAAAGTTCAATTATAAAAAACAAAAGTGTGGCGTTTGTTAAGATTATTTGACACTAAAGACACTTTAACAAGTGAATGTGTGATCTAAGATTGTTGCTCGGGAAGGACGTCCGTCCCAGCTGAGTAAAGCTGAACCCAACTATGGCCGCATACTGAGCGATCAACGCCGTCTCTAATAAATAGAGAAGGCTGTGTGAGCGATAAACACTCAGTGAGCCTAGGAGTTATTATTCGAATTAGAATCTCTCTCTCTCTATCTCTCTCTCTCTCTCCCCCCCCCCCCCCCCAATCCCCTCTTTCCTTTTCCGGTAGAAATCACAGAAACCCGTTCAACCGTAGGATTTACGATGATTACGATTACCATGTGACCTGAAGTCTGAACAAGGTAGGGTACAGTGTTGCCACTTTTTTTTTTTTTGGGGGGGGGGGGGGGGGTTGAAAACGGAGTCAAAAATATCTAAAAACATCTAAATTTGCGTGGAAAACATCTAGAAAAAAGTCCAAATAGAAAGAGTCACAAATTACATAGCTATTGATATGACTTACCCTATAGAATCATGTCCTCATCTTTACTTAAGCCTGCCTTACAAGATCCACATGATAAACTTAGCTTGGATGATGACGTTGAAGCTTCAGATCCAAAATGACTCTGGTATGCTTTAGCTGTTCCAATTTCTTTTAATACACAATCAGGAAGCTGATAAGTGGAACAGCGTTTTCCTACTCTTATCAGGCCGAAATGTGTTGTCAAGATAGCATTTAAGAGGTCAATTTTTATCCGGTTTCTTATGTTAGATTTGATAAATTCACTCAAGAGGAAAAATATCTAGAAAAACGTATACTATCTAAACGTCAAAAACGCCATCTAAATGCAAGAGAAAAATCTAAATCTGGATGTAAAATATCCAAAGTGGCAACACTGGTAGGGTAGCATACATTGTCCGTTCCAGTTCCCTAGACCAGCGGTTCTTAAACTGGATGCCGCGGCAATAATACAGAATTTTTCCAAATCTGCTTGAGATCACGAAGACAGCAGTTTAAAACAGAAATACCGTGAAAAAAGTCGAAGAAGAGTTCTGGATGCAAGTGTTTTGCGAAGACAATAATATCAGCAAGGCTGCAGTGCATTCTCAACGTACGCTTACATTAAAAAAAAAAACACAGATACAGACGAAACTTTCTGGTTTCAATGATTTCAAGGTAAAATTTACCAAACTTCCCATTTAGATAAAGAAAATAATGAAAAATGAATTCAAACAGTTTCATTCATCGCCCTAACGACAACTGAACATTAAATAAGCACTTTTTTTTTTCTTTTCCCAAGTATTCAAACCGCTTTAAGAGTAGGTGTGCCGCGAAATTTTGTTTGCCTGACAATGACCATCGGCCTGCCAAGGGTGCCGCGGAGAAATTTTTTCTGAGAACTGCTGACCTAGACGATGTAAACAAACAAAAATATCGGCCAGGGTAAAGCTCAATAACGTCAACATTAATTATAGCAACCAATCGCTAAGCTGAGCCAGCCATCGTCGTCGAGAATAACCCGAGAAACTGGGTCAGAATCTCTGTACCGATTATTCATTTGTCTGCCTGTTTCCATACCGTTCTGCCGCGTTTATGATTTAATCACCCATACGACTTCAAGATTGGCATTAGCCATTACTGCTCTATTAGGCACTTTTGGGTCCTTTCATTTTAGTTCACTCTATCTCGGGGAACACGAGATATCCCGAGGAAAGTCCAATATTGTAGGGGTGTTGTGTGAAATGAGCACTGGCTAACTCTAAACCCCAACACCCCCACCCCCATAATATTGGACTGTCCCTGTGAACTCTCTGAAGGTATTGCAGGGATCAAATTCCTGCGACCGCAGACACATAGGTAAGGGAATTGATAGATCAGCATTCAGACCCAGAAGATATCATTATCTACACAGATGGATCCGTGAAGCGCGGATAAAGGTCAGCATAAGCATACAGAGCGCAAAGAATGGGGAAAACAATACAGGAGGACAGCGGCGCTTACCAGACAACCACGTCAAGCATGACCATGAAAATAACCGCTGCTTCTAGAGCATTAGCATGGGTATCCGACGAACCGCCACACAGGCAGTAATTGTATCAGACTCCATGAATATGCCTCAGAAGATAGCAGCAAGCGGTATGAAAGCATACGAAAATTGCACTTAACCTCCCTCACCTGGATCTACACACTTGGTCATGAGGGCGTAAAGGGAAATGAGCGAACGGACTCACTGGCAATCATTACACTAAGGCACGTGAGAAGAAGCTTGGACAGAGTAGATATCGTCAACGCTGGGCTAATGGATAATATGGAATCCGTGACACTAACACGATTGCGTGACATAGGAGTAAAGCACGGTGAAGCACGTCTATGTCGTCTTCGAGGCCGAGATAGGAGACAATTTAACCAGCTTCTCATGGGAACAATTAGTAGAAGTAGTTTGGAGTGGCTGCTGCAGACGAGGACTGAGCACGCATGGGAATTACCAATGTGCAGTGACGTCGATTGTGATAACATAACATAACGGAACTCTCGGATTCCAAAAGATGGGGTGAACTAAAACGATAGTACCCCACGTTAATCATCATAATATTCCCTTCCCCGGGTGGGTTCCGGGTCCCCATTGTGAGGAAAAACAAGGATAGACTCAATTTCTGCCCAAAAGCATGTCGTAAGAGTCGACTAAATTGGAGCTTTCTTCGATACATACTTCCATACATGCCGACTGTTGCAGTTAGGCACAAGATGCTGCAGGCGAAGTCATATCTCTAGGTAGCTGCAGACACAGATCACCCTTTGCACGAAGCTCTGGGTGCAGTTAAGGGTCAGCGGCTGATAAGAGGAAAGTCATGGCTGGCTCAGGCAGAAGACACAATCAGACAGGTTTGCATCCTTGAGAACATTAGGCAAGGCGAGGTGTGGGTCAGACCTGAACAGTCATACTTGTGTAGGGTCATAATCACATTGAGCCGGGAATTCAGAGATTGACCAGCAGGTGCCACGGAGGTGGAATTTCAGCAGTTAATTCAAGATAATGCTCGCTCAGAGGATTTGATTATTTACACAGACGTTTCAGTGTTAAGGGGCAAAAGAAGTGCTTGGTTTTTTTTTTTTAAAGCAAAAGTTAATGGTCGACGTTTGGTGCAGGAGAGCCTAGCATACGATACCACAACATCCAGCTTGAGAATGGAGGTGGAGACGGTCACTGCAGCTTTCCGCTGGTTAAAGAACACGACACACACACACACACACACACATCGTGATTGTAACTGACTCATAAAGCATGCTGGGGAAGGAAGATCAGGACAGGCATGCTTCTTGCAGTGGCATGCTTCACTGCGGAGGACACCAGTGAAGTGTATTGTCTGGATTTTTTCACCGGGGTACGCCGGTGAATAGGGAAATGAACAGCCGGACAGACTGGCTGGCTCTGCACAACTTGGTGGCATACTGATGCATGACGTGGTTAGTGCCTTGAGGGAGAACGTGTACAGTTCGGAGGAGTGGATGGATCACCTCAGTCTGGTGAGACAGAGGCAGGGGGGGGGGGGGGGAGTGACGAGGGGTTCTGGCAAATGCTCGAGGCTCAGAGGAAAGGCACGACGGACGTTTAATCAGCTGGCTGCTGAAGATGCTGACGGTTCGCTTATGGGAATGCCCCGAGTGTTGTGATTTCGGTTCTTAAATGAACTCAGCTCTTCGATTAATGGAGATTTTTTTTTTTTAATGGATCTTAGTTCTAGTAATAAATAGCGTTCCAGTTTGAGAGCCTATGTTCCAATGGAAGCTAAAAAGAGGAAAATAGAAAGGCGAAGAGAGGGGGAGAGAGAGAATAAGAAGAAGAAGAGGAGTAGGGAACTGAAGTAGGACCAGAATTCCCACTTTAGTTGAAGAAGCACCCAGGTAAATAACCTCTGACCTATAATGTCTAAACAATCAGCTGGATCTCCCATGATTCTTCCTCAGGAAGTGACGTCAGAGAAGAAAACCACCAAAGTATCGTAAATAATGTTTTCGTCTGCTGGCCCAGACTCCAACTTTTTCTCTGAGACCCCAGCTCTTTGTCATTTTTCGCTCAGTTAACTGTTATTTCACCACAGCTTTTGTCATCCGTGTAGTTTTCTTGATTTCACAAGAGTGCTTATGTTACCTTACGGTATGTTAAAAAAAATTACAAGCACAGGACTTTCGGGATTTCAGTGTGAGATTGATTAATTCAATAGAAGAAGAAGCTGGTTGAGTGAGAGACTCGAACTTTACAGTGTAAAGTTTACACCACCACGAATCTTACTAGCTTCTGCATCTGTGTTGATTTGTTTGTTTCAGAAGAGTGCTAAAGTTATTTTACGGTAAGATTAAGAAAATTAAATTACAGCCTTTCAAGATTTCTTTGGAAGATTGATACCCTAGTTCAAGTGGTAGTAGTAAGGACGCTATTTGAAATCTCGTTTAGGAAAAGGGACCGCTGATCGTAGTGTTATCTTAGCTAAGATAGATTTACCGTCATTGGTGACTATATACATACATCGTCGTGATGCAGGCCAACGGTTTTTCACAACACAATGGGACTAATGATATCCACGGTATAGAGTTATTCAACACATTGCAGAGGAACCCGCTGACTGCTGCGGGTAGAGAGATAAATATCAACGGGATACTATATGGTCCGAGCAAGAGGCCCCTTTCAAAAACAGATGAAGACATTGTTCGCCTGATAGGGCAACACTTGCGAGATCTAGGATTCCAGTAAGTCCATTTAAAAACATTTGTTGCTTGTGCTGTTCCTGTCCTAATGCAAGTGATTTTCTTGAAACAGGGGATATCAGTTCTTCAGCTGCTTATATACAACTTTAATATTGTATTATCATTTTTTTGGTATTAGCCAAATAGTATGAGTCACTCATCTTTTATTCTAAGCTCTGGCTAATAATTATGTCACTTTTTTGTTGTTGGTTGTTCGGATACTTTTGTTGGCACTCTTCCGAATACCGGTCCCAAATTATTTACTGCCGAAAAACATCCCTCAGGAGGTTATGTAGTAAAACCGTTTAGGCCATCATGATCAGTTTCCACTTGTGCCGTTATTGCTCGCTGGATATCAATGTTTAGACATTAAGTAAAGTGCCGTGGGGAGGAATCGTTTTCGATCCATTGAAGCGACGTGGAAAAGAATAGATTTAGATCCATTGTTTTAGCGGCTTGGGAAGGAATAGAGTTCGATCCATTGAAGCGACGTGAATGATTTTTGATCCATTGTTTACATTACTCATCACTGCCCTTGCGGGGTCCAGGGCCAAATATTTTAGGGTTAAGAAAAAATAGATCCACTGCCACATAAAAGTTGTAAAAGGCGACTAATTAGGACTGCTGAAATCGGATGCTTTGGGGCAAAGGGCGCAGATATCGCAGCCTAGCTGTAAACCACAACACAACGTGAGAACCATTCTTTCAAGGGAGAACGAAAAGAACGAGGTTTACCTACCCGTGACATTATCATTGAGCATCTCGCCGCCGCTATCGCAGCCTAGCTGTGAACCTTATGAACAAGCGAAAGGCGCATATTTCGCAGCCTAGCTGTAAACCACAACACAACGTGCCAACCGCCCTGTTAAGGGTTAAAAAATGACCTCTGGAGGCCCTGAATAGGATTTTTTAACGGTGAATAATTTGGGACCGGTATTCGGAAGAGTGCCCTTTTGTTTTGCTATATGCATCAAATAGACATATCATTTAAAATTATCAGAATATTGCTGTAAACAAAACATTTGCCATGCAGTTTTAACTCTTAGTAACTGGCAACTCGTCATACTACTTTTGTTTTATTATTCTACATACTAGGGCTTTTTCCCTAATGGTTAGCAACATTACGAGCATCTCTCTTTTTCTCCGCACCGTGTTTTAGCTATCATTTTTTGTCAGCACTATTGTAGTAGACACTTTGGGGATGAGTACCAGTACATTTTGTCAACCCATTGTAGTGAATATTAGCACCTTTTTTTTTTTCAATAAAAAACCCCCTGTTACATACTATATTCATTTCTTAACTTCTTTTGTCTCATTCTCATTCTGCTTTAACCCAATTGAAGCAAGTTGCCATTTTGAACTCATTTTATCTTATAGTTGTTTTAATTAAAACCCTGCATGGGGCCCTAAACAGACCCACTACCCCACAAAAAAGCATGTCACAGGATGCAACTAATTAGGAGTATTTTCTTTAGAGTCAGAGTGCATCTGCCATAAAGGTGAGAATCAACAGTCTGCATATTAAAAAAACTTATATATGTAAAATGGGTGTGCACACAAAACTCAAGTTCTGGAACAATACCAAAGCCCCAAAGTGTATGAATAACCAGAACTTTCCACAGGAGTTTACAGGTGGTGTGCTGAAAGGAAGCATTAGTTAAACTCATTACTATGATTTTGTTTTACCAGTATTGTTGGCACCTTTCCCTCTTTCCAGATAATAGTGTTATATTGTGCTATGGAGAGGCATGGGAGCAAAGTTCCTCCTATCCATAGCACAAAACCTGGGCAGTATTGTAGAGACCATATGTGCATCATGTTCTCTATCTTAATCTGTCTGCTCCAAAAGAAAGATAACACCAGTATGTCTGGAACAAAGCAGGCTGCAAAAACATCAGTGCTGTATCTGTCCTCCCATCGGGGCCTCCTTCCTAGACCAGCTGCCAGCCAATGCTAAGGGCCCGGTCTGCGGTGCCATAACATAAAGCTTTCAGGTTGCATTTCCTCTTCCTAGGATAAGGCTAGTATCCTCCCCAATGCACTCTTCCTTCCAAAGCCGTTGGCACAATATGGGATGCTGGGTTTGGTATACGCCGCCCGACAAATTGTGTTAACAGAGGACAGGTGGTACTGGATTCTGTTATACAGTATCTCAGTCATATCTGACCAAGACTTGACTTGATTACCAATATTACTCTGTGTACTAATTCCAGGATAGAAAATGTTGAAGTAACAACTGTTTGAGCCAGAAAGAGTTAATTTAGCATGTAAGGGCTTGTAAAGTGGTTTTATATGTATATGACCATGTATTAGGAAATTAACAAGCAGACAGACTTGCAGTTTCTGCACAACTTGGTGATGAATTGATGGTGATATTGTAAGGGCCCTTTGAAGGCGAGTGGACAGTGAGAAAGCACTGATGGATCATCCGTCTGAAGCGGATGGTACTGTGAGAAGTGACCAGGGGATCAGGACAACGATCCGCACTCTGGAGAAAGGTGAGATGGACATACAATCAGACTGCTGTTGGTACCATTGGAATCGGAACTCTGCGCTTGCTGCTGAACATGGGGATGAATCACTTATGGAAATGTGTCGAATGCTGTGATGTTTATTCCTAATTTAGCATTAAACATTAAGTATATATATGTTTAACATAAACAAATGTGACAGTGAATATCCAAAGAAATGTCTGATGAATGAGGAGCTCTTTCCCATGAACCTCAGCTGTTGAGTAAAAAAGTTCTAATGCTTACATTTGGTCAAGCCATACTAAAGATATCTGGCTTCTTCAGTGGTAATTACCACAAGGTTTTTGAGTTTTAATAAAAAGTATTCTTCTTCTTCTTCAGCTTTCTGAGCTTTTGATATGGGTTCATATCCGTTACAGTGAGGATATTCCTTATGCGACCTCTTGGCTCTAGGGTTAACCTAACTTCATAAAATTAGTATCAGAAAATGTTCTAGCAAATTGAAAATGGCCACTGTGACGAAGACCGGATTGGCTATGGTGTATCAATTCATTCAGATCATGCGAAATACAAAATTGCCCTGCATTTACTGGTTTCAGCCGACATGTGTCCCGCCTATTTATTTCTGTCACCCACTCACCCCCAGATTAAATCCGCAGTTCCATCTTTGTGGCAAATAGGTCAACCCATAATTGCTCCATTTCTGTGCCAGCAGAAACCACATAAAATACCCATTGCTGTCCCTTGTGAAGCAAATGAAACAGGTTAATGTAATAGCTACATGGGACTGAAAGAGGTAATCATTCTCAACTGTTTTAGTCCCAGGGAACACATCATGGGCCTCTGATGCTAGAGACCCTGAGACTGAAAGAAATAAGTCTAACTGAATACATATGAGCACATTTTTCTCTTGATCTCAGTCGAACAGCAGAACAGTTGACCACAGAGTCTGGGTGTGCTCTAGAACATCCAACAGCTGCTAGATTTCGGATCCATGTTATGACTGGTGAATATGAGAAGGTAATCATATTTTATCTCTTACTGTTTGTCCATTTGGATAAATTAGTTTTGTTTTTGTCTTTTCTTGTCTGGCTGAGTATCTTATCTATCTACGTGTATTTTGTTCAATTTTTCTTGTCGGCCAGAATAATGAACCTTTGTCTTGTGATGCAAATATCTGCTTAGGACTTAAAAAATATGCCTTTAAAAAAAAAAAGTAATTTGACAGCTGAGAGCCTTGTTAGTGGTGCAGCTAGATGATTGCTTGTCCCCCCGAAGGTATTGAACTTGAATCTACATCAGTTCACATTTTTTTTCCCCAAATTTACCTTAGCTCCCAGGTTGACTCAGCCCTAACCCTCTTAGCACGGATGGGCCGATTATCGGCCGGCAGATGTCTGGCCAAAAACACGGAGCGGTCGATCATCTGCCTGATCGTGTTTTGCCTCAAACCGCTAAGAAATCTCCTATTTTGAAACACTGAAAGTGATTCATTTATATTCACTGCTGTATTAGCTTTACACATGGCGACCTTCAAGTGTTTGGTATCGAAGTGAAAATTGTTGTTGAATTTTTTAGACCTGAACCGCTAAAAGTACGTATGACTCGTATGTTTCTGCCCCTAAACTTGATGTTGATAAAACATTTGAATCAAGTGATGACACTAATTCTGTTGATACTGATGCAGGATCTAGTGTTAGTAGTAATAGTGGGGAATCAGATGGGAACGTTGTTTTGTTCAGACCACAGCCCAACCATGGCTCAGGGTATATGCACCTGAAAGTGTTGTCACTCCGGCACCTCCATTTCTTGTGCTGACTGATGGTGAAAAACACATGTCACCTAAAGATATTATTGCTGTTTCATATATGTATACCTGTTTTTGACTATTGAATTGCTTACAACATTTGTAAAAAAGCCAAAGATCAAAAAAAAGATTTCAAATAAAATTTATTTTTGTTTTTAGTTATATGTTTCATGCATTGAAGTTGAAAATTCACATTCTAATTTTCTATTTTTAGATATGCAAATGAGATCATTTGCATATACATCAACTAATTTTAACGATATTGTGAAAATCATGAACTTCAATCTATATCCTTCAAATAGATATAATATTTCATGGGGGTCAGAAAAACAGAAATGTGTCAACAAAATTAAATAAAGTAATAACCAAATTTACTGAAAAAATGCTCCGTGTTTTTGGCTAGACACCTAAAAAACTTCCCGTTCTAAAAGGGTTAAATGAGTACCAGACAGAGTCCTGGGAAGTAAAGGTGGCTGGCGTGATGTTGACCCCATCACCCATCAAAGGCTCAATGATCTTTAGAAACAAGAGTCTAATAGCAGATTTCTACCAGTGTGAAAAGGGTCCTAAAAATGGACTGTTTTAAATGTTATGTTGAACCTATTCTGCTGTCTGATGGACAGCTTCTGCTCTTCTGACGTGGCAGCTTTTGCAGAGGACTTTGTTTCAAGTGTACTTGCAACACATGGTCTCTTTAGGCTTTGTGCTGTGGAGAGGAGAAACCCAGCCTCTCTATAGCAAAATATAACATTGTCCCCAAAAGAAATCTGTTCCGTCTCTACAAATAAAAGTTGGCTACAGTGTAGCATTTCTGTCTCTGGGAATATACGTGGTGAGGCCCCAGTCTCTTCCACTGTGCATCTCTTGTACAATTGTCAAAAAACTGCAAGAACAATTTTCTCTTTAACCGTCCACTACGAGGAACAAACACTAGTACTCAGAATTGTTAACTGTATCTGCTGTCTTCTGAGCTGTGGATCTAACTTCGAAGCCGCAGAGCCAACAACAACAATATTCTACCGCATCGCAGTTTATCTTGAAATATGAATGAAGAGGTAGGAAGAGTTTGGATGCAGTAAAGTTGTGCTTTCCGAGATGGAACGTTATGAATACTTTGGACTGCCAGAGAAATTAAGAATGATTGTCACATACTGCTTGTGTCGCGTGCCTGTTTTAAGGATTTCTCCTTAAGAACCAACAGCACTCTGAAATAGAATAATGTTGAGGTGTCGGCTCGTATTGGTCTAAAGGGTATCCCGTGGCCAATATACACCCAACCTATTTCAGGAGTAGGGCAACTCAAGCTATGGCACTACAGAATATATAATATTCCTAGGTGCAGCTTGGCTGGACGTCCCCACTACTATAAGAAGATAGCCCCCAGGCTATGATATTGTAATATCACAGCCATGTTAACACAGATTAAGATTAAATGTTAAACATACAAATACTCTGGACAGTTTGAACAGTAAATGATGGACACCCAAGTCAATAATGAAAACTTCCAAAGGCATGTAAAAAATGCAACATATATATATATCATTAAGACTCAAGCAAAGATATTCAAGAGCAACTGGAATAATGAGATCAAAACCAGAACAATACTGCTGGATATGCCAGAGACCCTTCGAGACAGTCTGTGATCATCATAGTGAACCTGTAAATAAAGCACAAGATATTACACCACAGAGAATCACTTATCTAATCCCAATTGGCGTCACTGCACTCATTGGTTCATGATGATCTTAACAGGCTGATTCCCCTGGAAATGTTCTCCTCGTTGGTTGCTTTGGAAAAACACCGTCACAACAGAGTTCATTCACTGGAGCCCAACAAAACTCCTGAAGAAGGTTCTCTTTGAGTGATGACAAATGGGTGGCCTGTAACAACTGTCTCTTAGCCACTGGAGCCTAACCAAGCTCCTGGAGAGAGTTCTCTGATATAATGACAAATTGGTGACCTGTTAGCTGATGCCAACACTTTAGCTTCCACCTTGTTGTCTGCTATGGTGGTCACATGCCCAGCTCATTCATTTACCCTCCACCCTTTGCAGTCACTCAGAGGACAGCTCTTAGGATAGTGAGACAGTTCAAGTCTCCATGTATCTCCCTTGGTCAGTCAGTAAAAGAGATAGGAGACAAGTTCCACAGTGGAGACAGAAAGACTCTATTATACAGAGAAAATCATCTCTCCACATTCACATCTGCACTTGTAGTCACACAGACCACCTCTTTCTCACATATATATATATATATATATATATATATATATATATATATATATATATATATATATATATATATATATATAAATATTCTCCACCCACCGACATGAGTCGATTCCGTGTTGTGTGAGTGTTTGCTATAAATAACCTCTGACGTCCCTGTGTGTCGCCCGCTGTGTGTTGACCCAATTAAATCTGTCGGCTTAATTGATCTAATTTCCCCAACTAGTTAGAGAACGAGTAGCTTGCTAGATTAAAACATTTACATCAATATTGGGTTAGGTAGGGCACAAACTCTCAGCTTGCGAAGGGACAGGTTTGGTTTAGTGGCCGTGAGTTCTTGGACACCAAGAACGGTCTCATTCTGTGCTGTCTCATAGCTGAATCTTTTCTCTCTTCAGCAGCGGGTTAACTTTATAGAGACATATATCATGGTACTCGTAAACTATAATCAACTTACCCAGGCTTAGGATTCTTCGAAAGAATAAACTGGTACTTTGTTGAGAACAAAATTTAAGCCCAAATGTGAAACCCTTCTGATCACTTGGAAGTCTGGCAGAGAATGAAGCGGGAAGACTTAGCGTCGCTTCCGAAGAAAGAAGCTCCCAAATCAATACACCGAGGAGTAAAAAGGCTTCTCGGAATATGAATACTAATCTAGAAAATATCTACCCCACAACTGTAAGTTTGAAAATGTAGACTTCACAAGACACCTAGAGCATATAGAAATACCTGTTACGCCAGATAAAGGTATAAATAGATATGATGGACTATATACCCACCGGATGGGTCTATATTTGAAATGTGACCTGCCCGCTAGGGGCGTTAACGTCACGAATAGTCGAATGTGTAGGGGTGGGTTTGATCACTTCACGACAATGATTGCCTGGGAAAAGCTGAGGAAAGCAGAAAATTATATGCTGCTGTAAGAAAGAGACAGTGTTTTGAGGGGAAGAGAGGTTTTACAGAGCATCATGATGGCTGAAGAGATCTGACTGGCAAAGCTCATGATGATGCTGATAATGATGATAATTAATGATGATGATGAAATTGACAATTGGAACTTTCAGGAAATGCTATTGTACTCGTGTCCAATTGTTTGACCACTGATTGCTGATTTTTTCCCATTATTTTCTACATTGCAGGCTGAACAGGATCTGTATTCACTGGAGGGATTAGTGAAAAAAGGAAAAGAAGACATCATTGTAAGAGCAATTTTTCCCACTTATATTTTAAAAATCACTTAGCATAAAATGTTTAGATCATGTGATTAATGGTTGCAACTTTTAAGTGAGGATTGTGTTGTTTGAACTTTTGCATCAAATATTTAGTTCATTAACTCTTTTGGCACCAATTATTTATATATATATATATTTTTTTTAAAACTGTATCCTGGTAATTTTTACCCTTCTTCTTCGCGTCCATCAGCTGTAAACTCCGGCAAAGAGTTCCAGGTGTTTGTCTGCCTCTGGATTGTAGTCTTGTTTCAGAACCTCCTAAGTGTTGCATACACATCCGTTTCACACGTCTGGCTTATTTTTATGCAAACTGTTGGTTTCTTGCCTCTCAGGCAGATAATTTTGAAGGATAAACTCTACCCTAGGAAACTAGAAAAAGATAAGAAGCAGCAGAAGAAATTATGAGTCTTGTTACATTTTTATAAATATTCAAAGGGTCGAACCGTTAGACCTCAGAGAAGACAGGAAGGCATACTCTGCTTCTTTGATGACACATCACTAAAAACTTGTTTTTCAAATTTTCCTTTAAGTCACTAAATGTCTAAATCGGGAAAAGGTTTTTTATCTATATTAACCCTTTCGCTGCTATGGACGAGATAACTCGTCTGCCCGGCAGACTGCTAAATACGAGATAACTCGTCTGCCCGGTAGACTGCTAAATACGTGCTAAATACGAGATAACTCGTCTTCAGTTTTCTGTGCCCTCACTGCTAAGGACGAGCTCACTCGTCTGCGACTTTTCTTACAGATTGCTAAGAGCCGTGATTATCAGGAGTGAAATCGCAATATACATTACCTAAATCTGATCAAACTGACACATTTACATACAATGAAACACACATCACGTTTGTTTAGGTGTATTTAGATGCATTTCACATTATCCTGTTGCTTTGTTACCATAGAAGCATGGTCGGTGAACTGTAATTTTTTTGCCCTGAAATATATTTCTGGTTTTACGTTAGTCTGCTTATGTTTTTCGTAAATACAAAATAACAAGAAAATGGGTAATTAAAGTTAATGAAGAATTAATTGAGTTTCTTTCAATGAGTAATAGTTAAGGATCACTTTGAAACGTGTGTTATATAAGCTGGGTTATCTTCGCGGCACGCCGGCGGACACGTGTACTTCTGGCCGTGAGCTAGACTGACCATATGACCCGGCTATTTACATTGAATGCATTTGAAATGGATCCCCAGTAATCAAAATGAAGATATGGACGTACTGACATGATGACTATTTTTATTGTTAATGTTTCTAATATACTATACAACTGACAAAAATGTGTCTGTCTATCAAAGTGTTCAATACTGGCCCTTATTTCAGTTCCATTTTCATGTGAATTTCTAGTGTAGTTGGTATCACGTCTGCCTTACAATCGAAAAGTCCTGCGTTCAAACCCTACATGCCGTTTTTTTTTTTTTTTTAAATTCTAAATTTAAGCTCTTAGCATTTTCGGCAACAGAACACCGAAGCAAAAATTAATTAAACATCTTGTCACTTGCGTTCAGGTGGATTTAGATGCGTTACATGTTGTGTAACAAACAAAGAAAGAAACAAACTGTGGTCTGTTCTTTAGAACTACGGGGTACAAGGACAGTTACTAGAGAACATCATAGCCATGTACCACACAAGCCAAGGTGCAGTAAAAACACAAGAAGGCATATCAGATATGTTCACAGTCAACACAGGTGTGAGACAGGGATGTGTGCTCTCCCCACTTTTATTTAACATCTATATAGACAGAATATCTAAAGAAGCAAGTTATGATAAGACAACATAGACCTTTATAATCACTAGGAAGTACATACATCAGGAGAAGTAATCGATTCACCCACATTAAACGAACTACTGTTTGCTGACGACGAGTGCTTGTTCTACCCTGAAGAACATAGACTGCAAGACCACATTAACAGGTTAAACTCAGCATGTAGTAAATACAACATGAAGATCAATGTAAACAAAACTGAAACAAAGAAAGTTAGTAGACATTCTGCCCCACTACACATACAGCTGAATGGTTCTGCCCTGAGTCAAGTTAGGGAGTTTAAATATCTAGGAAGTATGATCACAGAAGATGGTAGAATTGACAGAGAAATAGAAACCAGATGTCAGAAAGCAAGTGCACTTATATACCAATTGTCACCATTATTAAGACATCCAAGCATAACTATGAGTGCAAAGAGACAGATTATTAATAGCATATTTATTCCAACATGAAGCTACCAGTGCCAAACATGGACACTATCTAAAGCCCATATATGCAAAATTACCACCTACGAGATAAGGTGCCTGAGAAAAGCAGCCAACCTAACCATCCGAGATCGAGTGAATAATGAAACTATCAGGCAAATTGTGGGAACAACACCTTGTACTAGATTAATTGAGAAACAGCAGATCAAGAGGTTTGGCCATCTCGTTAGAATGCAGCAAGATCAAATACCATCACAAGCACTACATCTCAGAAGATCAACTACAAGAGCAAAAGGACGGCCGCGGAAAACATGGATCGACCACATTAAAGACACTCTACGCCTTCACGGCATGACAATAGCCAGTGGCAGCCAACGTGCACTGGATCGCAAATTATTCCTCCCCACGACGCTTAACGGCAGAAGTGGTTCATGATGATGATGATGATGACATGTTATCTTGTTCCTTTGTGAAGCAAGATTGGTGTACTGTGCATTTGTGGGGGAAAACATTCCTGTTGCCGAATTTCACTTGATGTTAGTAAGAGAAATTCTACAGAAAAATTGCAAGGAAAAGAGAAAAAGTCTAGGAGGACAAAAAACTGAAGATCTGCCACTTTGTTTAGTACAAAGGCATTTCTGTTCAGTAATAGAGTCCGTAACATTACAGCAGAAATTCCCAAAAAGAAAGTGTGTGGTATGTGCAAAAAGCAAAAAACGACGGGAAACATGTGCAAGGACTGTGATTTGGCATTGTGTGTTTCACCTTGTTTTGAAATATTTCACACAAAAAGATATAATTATTAATAATAAAAACCATGTATTTGCTTACTAAAGTGTTTTGTGTTTGCTTTGTAAGTTTGTAGTGTTTTCATTTTGTTTATGAGTTTTCATTGCGTAGCCATAGCGCGTCTGACTTGTCAGCGCAAAGTTCAGCCATACGCCTTCAAAGATTTTTTATTTTAGGGGTACAATTTTTACCCTGCGCCGCAAGCGCGTCTTCTGCTTTTGGAGAGAAAAAAGGTATTCAGCTCAGGAGGAAAGATTAGCACTCGCCTGGCTCAGCACAGTGGTTACGTTGGCTGGCGGAGGGCGTAGCAGCGAAAGGGTTAAAGGAAGCAATCACTAAATACAAATGGAGCACATAATTACCTGATTTCCTTTCCTTTGACCATTTAGAGAACAATTTGATTTAATAATACAATTATATAACATTACAGATCCATCACAGATCCTTAAAAATATTTTTTATACTTTTTTTCCACCCAAATAATATTTTGTTTAAATTGTTTTTGTAAATATAATTATACCCACGATGTCTACACACTGCACACTTGTAGGCAGTACCAAAGTTGTTTTGCAAGCATACTGGGAATTGTCCATAAGAATCGAGCAAATCAAAAGCTGAAGGAAAAAAGCGGGAAAAACAGCTTTTTCAGGGCAAGGGGGCTAACTCATTCTGTCTGAGAATTTTTTACTTTATGTAATCAGCATTTAGGTCTGAAATGTTAAAATTAAAGCATTATGGGACAGGATGAGTTGAAGTAAGAATCTGGACAGTGGGTGAGTGTAACAATTGGGTGGGTAACAAGAAGTTCTGAAAAGTACACCTTGTCAGTTGAAAGTAACAAAAATATGGTGAATTGCTCAGTACTGAATGAGGTATTGAGTAAAAAAATCATTGCAGAATAAGTGATACATAACAGACAAACAGTCATTTGGTCATATGATAAGAAGTAAGTGATCAGAAAACATTATGACAATGGACAGATCTGGGTTAGAAGAAAAAAGAGAGAGCTTCTTCTGCAGGTGTGGGAATAGCATGCCGTACTAAAAAGAATAAGAAAATATATAAAAATATATAAAAGGTGTTATCAATAAACATATACAGTAAAGCAGTAAATGGAATACATTCCTAGGTAGCTATAAAACAATATGCATTGGATAGTTCCTGCCATGACCTCTGTCACTGAGGCTTTCGGGAAAATTAGATGACGACTTTGCTTTTAAAAAAGCTATTTGGTACACTGGAAAACATCCCTAAATGTTTTTGTAGCTAATATCTTCATATCCTGACCTTCTGAATGTTTGCTCAGGCGCAAACTCAGCCTGGAGCATTAGCTCTGCATCTCATAAACAGTCATTCTAGACAAGTGAGAAAACTTACGTTTACGGAGAATTACGCTGAATTTGAAACCTAGTACTTGAGGATCGTGAAATTGGTGAACTCATTCACTAACTTCTAAGCTACAGGTTGTGGAAAAGCATGATTGTCCTTGCCAGTCCTCAAGGCATTTGATGATGATGATGATGATTATAATGATGTTGAAGATGGTGTGTGTGAATTTAGCCAATGAAATCTAACACTTTTTAGATTCGCTAGATGGGAAAATAGCAAAGGAAAGTTTGGCAAAATTTCATTGAGTTAAATATTTACAGTTGTTTATTTTTTTCAGAAAATGAAGTTTTTGCTGCTGGAGCAAAAGTACCTAGAGACGTTGGAGGCTGGCTATCCAATGAGAGCTCTTCAGTGCCTGAGATCTGAACTCACACCCTTGAAGTACAACACTGAGAGAGTTCATGTACTTAGCACGTAAGCTTTATCTGACTCATTTAATTTGATTTTAAGGTTATTTCACCATGATGCAAAATTGGTAACAGAAATAAGTCTTGCTATAAGTGTTGGGGAAATACCACAACATAATGATTAGTGGCTTGCCTGATGACCCAGAAATGTGGGGTTTGAATCTACATTGTGATAGATTGGCCATTGCAGTAGGCTAGCAACATGTATCCAGTAGATCCCAGAGTAGGACAAAAATGATTGTTTTTGTGTTACGGATGGTGAATGGATGCATGACAATGTAGACGTGGTCAAAGCCCTGTGAGATCCAACGAACATTGTGGAAGCATCAGTAGAGCATTATGGCTTGGAGAAAATGATGCAGCAGGGAGTGCCCAGAGATCTACACTCAAAGGAAAGGCACAAAGGATATGCAACCAGACTGCTACTAATAGCATCAGCATTTGAACACTTCACTTTCTGCTGAAGATGAGGACAGAGTGCTTATTGGAAAGTCCCAAGTGCTGTGATGTCATCTCTCAGTCCAACTCCTGGGTGTCACGACTGATGGACCAAATAATCATGTATTTATCTCCTTGTCTTTTTCTTGACGTTTTCCTATTAAATTTATCAGTTGTCTAAATTTTGAAACTGATTTCTCCTCAAAACATGCCCAACAGATATTTAGCCGATAAGGGGAAAATTAAAAGGAAGCTGCATAGGGGTGGCTATATAGATGAATGATGTAAACATAGGACACAGATAAACAGCTTTTTGTTATTGAAATATATGTTTTTGTCGCAAGTATACTTTATCTTGGCTGTGTACAGTGATATGGAATATAACAGAGGATGTTTGTATTCTTAATAAAGTTTTAAATGGAAACATAAATTAAGTTGCTTATGTGAATTCTCCATGTAGATTTCATTGTGGGGGGGGGGGGGGGGGGGGGGGAGGGGATAGACCCCACTGTTCCCTTTAAATGCCAGTCATTAAAGGTAACTAATTAGGGATGTTTTCTTCAAACTTGTAGTGCATTTAACTGAGAGGCGAGGAACTAACAGTCTGCACACAAATAAGCCATGTGGAACACAAGTTCTTGAACTAGACCAAAGTCTAGAATTGGATTAACAATTGTTAACTTTCCACTGGAGTTTACAGCAACTGAACATGCAGAAGAAGAAGCAGAAGAAGAAGCAGAAGAAGGAGAACTCAGGTGAATCAAGCCGTGTGATGAGGATGTGTATTAATGTGTCTGACAGGTACCTGATGTGCAACAATGCCGAGGAGCTTCGTGAGTGTGCTCACTGGCAAGGAACAGGTGCCGCAAGCCGCCAGAATCTGGTTCACAATCTTCAAGGTATGAGCGAACAAACTAGCAGACTTTATTTTCAAAGGGTTAAAAATTGGGCACACAGGCATGTCTTCTGGTCTCACTTCATGCATGCATTATTCCATTCATACATTATTTTAGCAAATAATAATAATAAACATAATTAACAACGTCCCAATCTCAGTTTAAAAAACTGGAAAATGCTCCCAATATGCCTACATTTTAAAACAGTAATAAATCTAGGGGAAATCAACTGTAGGCTTAGAATATGTGATATAATAATGCCAGGTATAATAAATCTAGGGGAAATCAACTGTAGGCTTAGAATATTTCATATTATAATAATAATAAGTATAAAAATGTTGGGTAAATCAACAGTAGGCTTAGAATATGTGATATAATAACAGGTATAATAAATCTAGGGGAAATCAACTATAGGCTTAGAATATGTGATATAATAATGCCAGGTATAATAAATCTAGGGGAAATCAACTGCAGGCTTAGAATATGTCATATAATAATAATAATACGAAGAATAAAAATGTTGAGTAAATCAACAGTAGGCTTAGAATATGTGATATAATGATACCAGGTATAATAAATCTAGGGGAAATCAACAGGATGCTTAGGTATGTCAACTACAGGAATTGATAGATACGGTGGCGGTAGAAAGCGATAAAATGGGTCTCATTTTGAATAATGGAAAGACTGAAGTAACAGTGATTTCCAAGAAGATAATAATGCCCAAATTTAAAAAAAAAAGTCAAGAGGTATTATTTTAGAACAAGTACAAAAATATAAGAATCTAGGCACATGGATAATATCTGACAGAACATGTATCACAGAGATTAAGAGCAGAATAGGACAGGCTAAAACTGTATTTTGTAAAATTAGGAACATTTTGTGCAATAAATTCATGTCATTGGAGGTTAGGAAAAGAATTCCTGCGTGCTATATAGAGCCAGTTTTAACATACAGCTGTGAATCCTGGGAAGTTATTAATCAAGCCGAACAGTATCTTGAGGCCTCTGCGATGTGGTTTTAAAGAATAATCCTCAAAATTCCTTGGACAGCTAAGAAGAGCAACCTAGCCTTTTATCATGCCATTGAGGGGTGTCAACACACAAACTAATACAGGCAGTTGCGGATCACAAATTTTTTTAGAGGCATGATCACCCACGCCCGTTGGCACATGATGATGATGATGATGCCCTTTCTGGATATTCATTCTAAACTGGTATTATATTTACCTGTCCCTCTACCATAGCAGTTCCAAATAGGCTAAGACCTTTAACCCCTCTTTTTGTAGAAGATTTGCCAGTGATCCCACACTTTCAGTAGTTTTACCGAGGAGCTTATCATAATTTTATAAATATTAGAATCACATTCTAAAGTAAAGTTGAGGCTTTTTTTTTTCTTCAAATGATATCATGTATCCCCTTAACTCTGAGTCCCAGGGGGTTTAGCATCACAGGCCCAAAGGGTAGTTAAGAGAGACTAAAATCGGTGCATCATGCAATCACTGGGCTTCTAGGTAGGAACCTATGAATGTATAATGCGTTCCTTGGGACTCAAAGAGTTCAATTCTTTTCACGGACCACCAAAGGAGGAAAAAAATATAACTGATGTGGATATTTCCTCCCAGATGTCTCCAACTTGCATGGTAAAGTGAACAGACTGTAGTGCCAGCAGGGATCCAGATATGTGGACACAAGAATCATTTGTTTGATGAGTCTGTCAGTGTAGATTATGTCCATTACGGCTCTGAGGCTTAGAGTTAAGCGAAAATCGTTTCACAGTGCAATCTTCAGTGTTTACCAGGATGCATTTCCTGCTATTGGCGTTTTGGGAAAATGTACTCTTTGGGAATTTTTGAGTTTGACAGTTCGGTCATATTGTATCACACTTTATTGGTTAAAAAACCCACACACACACACACACGCACTCTCACCCTCTCTCTCTCTCTCTCTGTCTCTGTGTGTGTGTGTGTGTGTGTGCGTGCATGCGTGCGCACATGCGCGCGAGCGAGAGAGAGATAGAGAGAGTGTGAGTGAGTGAGTGTGAGAGTGTGTGTGTGTGAGAGTAAGTGAGTGTGTGTGAGAGTAAGTGAGTGTGTGTGTGTGTGAGTGAGTGTGTGAGTGAGTGTGTGAGTGAGTGAGTGAGTGTGTGAGTGAGTGTGTGAGTGAGTGAGAGAGTTAGTGGGTGGGTGGGTGGGGGAGTGAGTGAGTGAGTGAGAACGAACAATTTTCAGTTGCCATGTTTCCACCAATCTATAGCCACAACAAGATCTTGCAAACAAAAACTTGAAATTAATTCTCCATTCAGTGAGATGCAAAATTGCAAAATATGGGTTTCTGTTAAATAGTTGTGAAGCTGTGGAATATATAGTCTCTATTACTATCAGAAAAAAGGATTTTTTGGTTGCATTTTTTTGCACCAATCTAAAGCCACTTGATGGTGATGTAAGATTACGCTTGTTCTTGAAATTGGTTATCAATTGAATTTGGCACAAAAATATGCAATATTAAAAGTTTATTTTCAATAATTGTGAAGCTATGGCATTTTTAGGACACACTAAAATACTTGGTATTCAGGAAAGTGCAAGGGTTAACGGGTGTGGTGGTCAGTGGGTTTGAAAAAAAAAGACTCTGGCCACACTGTGAAGCGTACCAGGTCTGCGTGTGGCACATGTCAAACTTGAACTCATCCTGAAGAAGGTGAGAATTCAAGTGACAGAGATTAATGAAGGTTAACCTGTGTTTCAGAATTTATCCCACCTTCCATCATGCTGCCACCAAGACGTCTATTTACTTTGCTGAATCAAGCTGTTGAGCAACAAAAAGACAAATGTCCATACCACAACACACAGCTGGACTCTGATTTGTCCAGTGTGTCCCTGCTCACTGACCATATATGTTCTAAGTAAGTACATAGTTGATTGTTATGTGGGTTTGCTGTTTGGTGTGTTGGTAATTTCTTGAGGCCTCGGAGATGGGGCTTTACAGAAGCATCATTTTGAATTCCTCGAACAGCCAAAAGGAGCAGCCCAGATGTCTTGAAAGGGTTCGAAGACAATTTATCACAAACATCAGAGAGAGTCGCAATTTTTGGTCAAGTTATGAGAAAGAGACTGGAACATGTTTTGACTACTGTAAAGAGAGACAGAGCAAGGCAGTGAGAGACAATTCTTGACAGCCTTTTATCATGACATGGAAGGGTGTCAACACACAAACTGATTCATGCAATTTTAGGTTGCAGATTGTGGAGAGGCTTAATCACCCATGCCAGTTATGCTTTCCATCTAATCCTGTATTATTATGGAGGCAATATGGCTTTTATGTCCCACCTTGTTAAAGGCTTTCTTGTAATCTATGAAACATGCATAAATATTTTTCTAAACTTCTGTTTCTTGAGACAAATTATGGTTCCCCCAGTGTTCCTATTTGTTTTATGAAATCCAAACTGTTCCTCAGATACGTCATTTTGAAAGTGAAAACATCATTACACCACAGCAGGCGGGCTTTAGAAAGTTCTGCTCTACGGAAGACCAGACAACATACCTCTCCTAAGAAATAGAGGATGCTTTTCAAGATAAGAAACTGGTACTTGCGGCATGGATAGATTTAAGGAAAGCTTTTGACAAGGTTTGGAAGGAGGCCCTTTTGAAGAAATTGAGAAACTATAAATGGAAAAATGTACAATTGGAATAAAGCATATCTACATAACAGAAGAGCCAGGGTACAGGTAGATGGTTTCAAAAGTAAAAAAGTCCTACTGCAGCATGGCGTCCCTCAAGGTGGTGTCCTGTCGCCCACACTTTTCCTCTTATTCGTCAGCGACCTGTTTGCTGAAATACCAAATGGAATCAAAATGGCAATGTATGCCGACGACCTGGCACTGTGGTGCACCGATGAACATGCAACGATAGCCACAAGAACACTACAGCGGGCTACATATGCACTTGAGGCATGGGCGAATAGATGGTGTGTCAGCATCAATACAGACAAATATAGCACCACACACTTCACTCTCTCCCCAAAGCAAAAAGCGGGCATCATCAAAATAAACGGAATATCTCTAAGAGATGATAAAGAGCCCACGTACCTCGGCGTCACATTTGATGACAGGTTGACATGGAGAAAACATATCAACAAGGCAGCAACAAAAGCCACGAGGAAGACAGCCATACTTAGAAAACTAAGTGTAACCACATGGGGAGCCAGTGGGAAAATACACAATAAAGTATACAAGCAGAGCATACAGCCACACTTGGAATATGGGTCAACTGCATGGTGTTCAGCATCAGTACCACATTAAAGGAGTTGGACAAAGTGCAAAATCAAGCACTCAGAGTCATCACAGGAGGGATGAAATCAATCTCCATATTAGAAATGGAGAAAGCTGAGAAAACACAGGCACTGAGAGAACGCAGAGATACAAAGTTGCAGATACAAGCTGAAAAGTTCCTCAGTATGCCAGATCATCCCATGAAAAATAGATTTCAGAACCTAGCCTTGGGACGGTTAAAAAGAAGCAGCTTTATACATCAAGCAAAAAGAATATGTTGACAGACTGCTGACCTTCCAGAAATTGGTTGTCCACTTAACAGTATTCCAGAATAAACCCCATGGAGAGAGAAATGCAAACTAACAGTACAAATCCAGACAAATGTGAAAGGAATATTTGACAAGAAAGAACAAGATAGTGTACAACGCAGAATGGCCACCCTCAGTTATATTGATGAAGAATACCCACAAGAACAATAGGTCAGAGTCTATACAGATGTAAGAGACCACTGTGTTTTTATTCATTTCTGTGTTCTTTAAAAGCTTATGATAAACTGCTAGAAGCTGATTCTTGGTAATCCGACTCACTAGAATTAAAACAGGCAGGATCTCCTCGACTTCTTACCAAGATCTGTTGTTCCGACTAACAGGTCGTAAGTCGAACTGGTTGTAAGTTGAATTTATATTTTTCAACTCTGTTTTCATTCAAGCAGGTTATAAAATTTTTTCATAAAATACACAAATTCTATCTATGTACATATAATTATTGTACATAGTGTGAAAATATACAATATTTACTTTGCTGCATCAGTTCCTGGAACTGTTTGGCCCTACCTATGTGTAATATGTCTTCATTTACTTTTGTGTGTGTTTATGTGGTCATAATTGCAGATGGTTGTAAGTGGCATAGGTCAAGTCGAGGAGAAGGTGTATTAACAAGTGATAAACTATATTTGGTTTCACCATACAGAGAGCAGTTCCCAAATGTGACAGTCCAAACACTGTGGGACCACCAGGATGAGGTCTGGCACTGTCAGTTCTCACCAGATGGAACTCGACTTGCCACAGGCTCCAAAGACAACAAGCTGATTATATGGAATGTTGACACAGTAAGGTGGTCTTTTCACTACTCTTTCTCTTTTGAGCATCAGGTTTCAAGTAAACATTTTGAGATCATGCATTTTTCCTGTGGCAACTTATGGTAATGGACTCTCACTCAGTCTTTGAAGAAGAAAATCAGAGTTCAGTAACTGAAATGCTACAGAAAAATTCTTAAAATACCGTGGACAAAGAAGAAGAAGAATGTTGACATCCTACTTGACCTGAAATTCAAGGAGAACTGGCTTGTAAACAGTATCCTCTCCTGAAAACTGAGGTATTATGGACGTGTCAAATACCTTGGTGGTCTGGAGAGAACAGTGACAAAGGGCCAGTTTTTCTGTAAACCGAGGCAGAGGCTGACCTCTGCAAAGGTGGAAACTGATGATGATGATGATTGGCACTTTTCCGTCTTTCTAGACGATAGTGTTATATTGCGCTATGAGGAGGCATGTGACTCATAGCCCATGGGGATGGCGAGTGTGTCTAGCAAGACCCGCCTGCATTATAGCATCAGATTTCAGGACCATTGTTGTTAACATTTGTGTTCAGATGGTTTCTTCTCAGACGCTTAGCTATCATCCTTTCTGCAATCATTTCTTCCTTCATTCTCATTTCCTTCCTGATGTGCCTCCTCCACACAACATGGTCCATGGCATTTAGTTCCCAAAAGTGAACTTCAATACCTGTATCTTGCTTGCACACATCTTTATTTCATGGCAGAGGTCGGCCTAAACATCTTCTACCCGTCTCTAATTCACCATAAAGGATGTTTTTAGGGACTCAGCCGTCCTCCATTCTCTAGGTGTTAGGCAGCCACCTGAGTCTTCATAGACTGAGCATAGAAAAGACTGTTGTAGTACCTGCTCTTTCCAGTACCTATATATATATACGTGTGTGCGTGTGTGTATATATAATGAAATGAAAAACAAAACATGAACTAGGTTAGTGGTACCATAAAGAAACTAAACAACAAAACATTAATGAGGTAGATATAAAAATTGCATTAGCTAGCAACTGTATAACAGCAGTATGCTCCATAGTACTAGCTTGCAACCGTAAAACGGCAATGCACTCCACTGTACTAGCTAGCAAATCTAAAGCAGCAATGCACTCCTCTGTACTAGCTAGCAAATCTAAAACAGCAATGCACTCCTCTGAACTAGCTAGCAAATCTAAAGCAGCAATGCACTCTACTGTACTTGCTAGGAAATCTAAAACAGCAATGCACTCTACTGTACTAGCTAGCAAATCTAAAACTACAATGCACTCTACTGTACTAGCTAGCAAATCTAAAACAGCAATGCACTCCTCTGTACTAGCTAGCAAATATAAAACAGAAATGCACTCCACTGTACTAGCTAGCAACTCTGAAACCCTGTATGTTTTAATGAGTCACACTGGTATTCATGAATGTGTCATGTCTATCAAGACAGGGGTGTGGGTTTAGTCACTAGTAAATTACTCAACATTTTGGATTTCACTGATTAAAAAAAAGCCAGTGATGAAGGGAGATAGTCAAGAAACTTCATAATTCTATGATCTAGTTTTTGTAATGTAAAGCTATCAAGGCCATAAAGAAAACAAAGAATAGTATCACTGTAACCTTCTATATATATATATGTGTGTGTGTGTGTGTGTTTAAATATTTGTTTATGTATATATATATATATTAATTCATTCAGTAGCATGTCCCTCGCAGAACCTCGCTGCCATAACAACCCTCCGGAAAACCTTCCTATCCTGAGCAAGATGTCCTGCGTCTGATACACCCATCTGGAGATCATCTGCCACATCCTGCACCCATCTTCTCCTTGGCCTTCCTCTTCCTCTCTTCCCAGGCATATACCCCTCCATTATTGTTCTCTCTAGACTTCCATGACGTTTCAAGTGACCAAAATATTTCAATTTTCTTTGTTTTATTGTCTTTACTAGCCAACCCTCTTCAATATTCAGCTCTTGAAGTATGGATGCATTTGTTCTTTTCTTTACCCAAAATATGCTTAGAACCTGTCTGTAACATTTATATTCAAATGCATTTATGCGCTGTTCCGCTTGTTTAGTAAGTGTCCAGGTCTCACAGGCGTATGTTGCAATGGGAAAGATGCATGCTCTTAAAAATCTGACCTTTGTAGTTCTATCTGTACAATTCCATAATTTATTCAGTTGTTTTAGTCTTTGAAGAGCAATTGATAGTCGCCGTTTAATTTCTTTCATTGTGTCACCATTGTTGGTAACCAGTGACCCAAGATATTCTAAATTTTCCACCACTTCCAATCTTTCCTCATTAACGTATATTTCCTTCTCCATCGCAGTTATATATATATACATATACGTATATGTATATATACATATATGTGTGTGTGTGTATATATATATGTGTGTGTGTAAGTATTTGTGTACATGCATGCATGCATGTGTGTTGTGTGCGCGTGCGTGCGTGCATGTTTATATATATATATATATGTTTTCTGATTTCTGCAGGAGAATTACGAATGTCAACACTATAAAACTCTAGAAGAGCACAAGTTCTCTGTAGGTTTCATCACCTGGTGTCCAGACAACACACATATTTTAATATGTGGCCCTGACGACACCAACGAAGTTTATATTTATAATGTACTGGTAAGTCGTGATTGAAAATGTCTTTACTCTGCATTGATCAGCAGATCCTTTACATAACATCACACCTAAAATCTCTCTTTCTCTAGCCAGTTCTTCAGCCCTGTGTGCTTTCCTAGCCATTGCATCTTGATTATCTTGTATCCACATTTGTGGAGGTCTGCCTCTGCATCATTTTCCGGAAACACTGCTTTGCTCCACCATGATGTTTAACATGGCTTAAATACCTTATCTTTCAGCTGTCCTTAATTGTATCCTACAACATGCGTGGTAAGTTCTTCTTCTTTTTCTCCTCCTCCTCCTCCTCTTCTTCTTCTCCTCCTCCTCTTCTTTTTCTTTCTCCTCTTCTTCCTCCTCCTCTTCTTCTTTCCCCCACTGGAGCATAAACCCTCAACCAACTAATGTCAGCTCATCATATCCTTTCATATCAAATGCACTTTCTTGTTACTCTCTAGTTCCCTCTGACTTCTGTGGTTAGCTTTTTAGATAACATTTTTCTGTCATGTGTTTACCAGTTTCACGTTTTCTGTATTCTTTACATTACAGACGGGAGAAGTCAGACAGAAATTTCATCAAAATGCAGATCACAGTTTAACATATGCAGCATGGATGCCTGACGGACGCAAATTTGTTGTTGGGGGCATCAAAGGACAGTTCCTTTATTGTGTATGTTTTAACTGCAGTGTTTCTGTGTATCTGTATACTATTTCTGTCTGTTGGATAAGTGTCTTCCCCTTGTTGGTTCTGGGGATTAGTTTTGGGGGGACAAGAATAGACGCACTGTTCTCTAGCAAGCATGTTGTGAAAGGTGACTAATTATAAGTTTGATAGAATAACTAATGTAGAACTTTGGGAGAGAACTAAACAGGCTCCAGTGGACCAAGAGGTGAGGAAAAGACGCTGGCATTGGATAAGACACACACTGAGAAAACAGGAGAACAGCATAACTAGAATGTCTTTGCATTGGAACCCACAGGGGCATAGGAATAAAGGAAGACCAAAAAAACACATGGAGAAGAAGGCTGAAGAATGAAGTTAGAAAGATGGGGAGGACATGGGGAGAGCTCCATGCAATGGCGAAGGATATAACTATTTGGCGGGAGTTGGTTGAGGGCCAAGTTAACCTTCCTTTGCTATCACATGCTGGTCGCCCTATGTCCTTCTTATCTTTTTAACTTTACTATCAGTCTCCCTTCTTCTTGTTGTTTTTATTAATCTGCCTTTATTTGTATGCCCCTTTGGGTCAAGTGTCAAGACGTTGAATTTCTCAGTGTGTTTCCTATTTGGTGGCAGCATTTTTTTCTTCACCTCTTTGGTCACCTGTTTTCATGGGGATTTAAACAGGCGACTATTAGGCCAGATGAAAAGCATGTTAGCCTCCACACTCAGGACTCGCACTCGCTGTGCAGTTTGGTCAATTTTGGAGAAAGTTTCACTTAGTTCGAGGGGAACATTGGTGTGTTGAGAGTTCACGTACAGGTACAGGCTACTGAGAACCATTGAAAAAATATAGAGGATGGTTGCTTTATCTCTTGTTTCTGCTTTGTGTTCATCCAAAGATATACATATGTTGTGTCTGTTTACAAATTGGTTGTGATATTTGGGCTTTTTGGCTGATACATTTGACTTCTAAGGCATTTGTTGCCTGGGCTAGCAACACAAAAAATGTCTACAACGTTTGGTGTTTGCAAGTGGTCACCCATCTAATTTCTAACCACTCCCGACTTAGGCTTGACTTTGGTGAGCAGACGAGAACCGGTATTTTCAGCATGGTGTATCCATAGACAGAAACTACTGGCAGATCAAACTCCCTTGCTGGGATGAGCAATTTTTGGGGGTCTGTGATCAAAATTTAGAATTACCAACCTGGTCACGGCGAATATAAAAGCCATGAGAAGTTTCCAAAGCCATGTGAAAAGCCTAGACCTACGTCACTTTCTTGTCGAAGCCGCTCGTTTCAGTGAGAATTATCCGAATTTTTTTCACATCAAACCACACAGAGAAATCTCAACACACGTGGGAAGTCATTCGTATCGACTAACCACGAAGTCTGATGGCGATTGGCTGGTTATTTTTAATCTGTGACGCATATTTTTCACATACTACGCAAATTCCCGGAAAATCGGGCCAGCGGTCTGGTAGGGTTAAAGCAGTAACAGTTTTGTAAACAATTAGGTAAAATAAATCCATTTGATTCTGAAAGAGTTAAAATAATTCAATCCATTGTTTTCTTATTTATATAACAGGACATTGATGGACATGTCATTGACACATGGGAAGGTGTAAGAATACAAGGTTTGGCAGCTTTGGATGACAAACAGGTTCTGGCAGCAGATACACACAATCGTATCAGGGGCTATAACTTTGATACACTGCAGGAATTACCTCTGTGAGTATTTGTAACATTCACTCCTTCTGGCCCTTCCAGTTATCATCATCATCACTATTAAGTAAGTAACAGTGATAATCTGTTTAAATCACCACTAAATACTGGCATTATGAGGCCTAATAGATTACAGTGGTTAAGGTATATAAAGAGAATAGCAGCGCCGTGTTAGCACAGTCGATAGGGGACTCGCTTTAAATCCAGCTGTGACTGGCTGCAGCCCACGGCCCGTGTTCGAAACTGGGCGGCTCCCGGGCTTCATCGAGCCTTTAGGTAATGGGTACCAGAGTTAACAGTCTAGGGTAAACGTCGCTGTAGCTACGCAGTTGCGTGCAGATGGCGACACAGGCCGACAGTTGTGAGTTAGATTGTCTTCCCAGCACTCCAGAAATGAACCATGCTGTCTGTTTATTCTACGAACTTCATATCACTGGTGACAAATCAGACTTTCACACATGATCTCCATTGCTTTCCTGCTACTTTTTTTGCCCTTGGTATCACATGTAATTTTATATTATAACCCCCCCCCCCCCCCCATATTTTTTTCTCTTTAATTCTCCAGGCTTCCTGAAGGTCATCCACATCTCCTTTCTCCATCTGCCATCCATTTAGAGATCTGTTCTTGCCAATTTGTCACTAGGCGTCACAAGGCTTTCTACAAACACGTCTAGGCCATCTTCACCTTCTTCCTTTGATAAGATTTGTCGGTGGTGTACCATGATACAAGTTATACGACATTATGTTAACTTATAAAGTTATCATTACAACTTATGACATAAACTTCTGTGTCAGTTGTTAGCAACTGTGACCCACCAAAGACATTTTTCTAAGATTTTCTACAATTTACAATATTACTTTAACTCTTTCAGTCCAAAATGGTTTTATGTTAAAAGAAAAAAATATTTTTTGATTTAATTAAATATTGCCACAGAAATTCTAACCACTTTCTGTGTTGTAGGAATGACAAATAAAATGAAATATACCTCTGTGGTTGCCAGATTTATTTAGTATATCCTGACTAAAACATAAATATGAGAAGACACTAGATGTGATCTTTGAGACATGAAGGGAATAGTCAGTAACACATCTTGTGCTGTTTGAGGTCGAGAGTGTTAACTAATTCATCCATAGATAGATGTTTCAAGCACTGTAGACAAATACACAGATCCTCAGTCTCCCTTAGCAATGGTCAAAAGTTGAGATGCTTCTGTAGTACACTGAAATCATCTTGATCATCACCTTATAACCCTCCTCGATGGAATTATACTGACATTCAAATTCACGCATCCTTCAATCTAGGAAGTAAACTGTTATTGAGTATTGTCGTCTGTCAGTCATAGACTGTGCATCAATCTTCCAGCTACTAGAAATCTTGAAGCCAACAGATTTTCTTGACCATTGTCTTTCACTCCAGGGGGATTATGATAGTAAAGGTGAAGGACCCTTTTCCACGTCTTCAGGTGTATTCGGTCTATAGAGCTAGACCCTATGTTTAATAGACCAGCGGTTCTCAAACTTTTATCACAGCCACACCCTTGTCGGGCACACAAACATTTCCCCAGCACACGTACCCTTAGAGCGGTTTGAATACTTAGGAAAAGAAGAAACAAAAATAGTGCACATTTAATGTACAGTTGTCTTTCTTTTTTGTATACGGGAAGTTAGTTAATTTCACCATCACATCACTAAAGGTTGCTCCTGTATCTGTGTTTCTAATGTAAGCGTAGGTTGAGAATGCACTGCAGCCTTGGCAGTAGAATTGTTTTCTGAATACACCTGTATCCAGGACTCTTCTTGGCTTTCTTCACAGTATTTCTGTTTTAAACCGCTGTCTTCGCTGATCTCAAGCAGTTTTTAAAAATTCTTGATTATTGCCGCGGCACCCCTGGCATACGCTCATGGCACCCAATTTAGAACCGCTGTTATAGACCAATTGGCAATGTATGGGTGATATAGTCAGTATTACGCGACCACCTTTACTTCCCAGGGCTTTGCCTGGTACCCATTTATAGCCGGGCCAACCTGGTAGCCAAGGTCATTTGTATAAATTAATAAGACTCGCTTAGGACCTGAACCCACAACCTTCGGATCTGCAGGTGAGCATCCAGCTGCTTCACCACCACGGCGGCTCCTCATCATAACAGTATATGTATATAAATTCTTGTAAATGAGAAGAGTCAGATCCCTTCCAAATCGGACTGCATCCGCCCAAGCGGCAAGGAACAACAAGATGCACACTGATAAGCTAATAAAATAGATGAACACACAAAACTGATGCCCTGGCACGAAGCCAAAGTCCAAATGGACAAACAGCCAGGACGTTCGCTGGAGCTTACAGCCGGTGAACAAAGAAGAAGAAAAAATGTCTGTGCTTGATACCAGCTCATGCCATGTCTGTCCATTTCGAAATATTTCAGAATTCAAGAAGACCACCCAATAATGACATTTGTATTAGACAGCAGAAAAGAATTCATACTTGTAAATGTTGCTTCTCAGGTGGGTCTTGTTGTTGTCTGTATGTCTGGTTTGCTCATTTGCTTTAATCATATATTCTGGAAATAGATGCAAGGAGTTTGAGTCGTTAGTGAGATCCTTTTCTTCTTCTTCTTAGCTTTCATTGGCTGTAAACTCCAGTGGAAAGTTCTGGTTGTTTGTCCACTTGTGGACTTTGGTCTTGTTCCAGAACTCAAGTTTTGCGTGCACATCCGTTTCACAGAGCTGGCTTTTTTGAATACATATTGATGGTTCCTTACCTCTCAATCAGAAGTATTCTGACTTCAAAGGAAACACCCTAACTAGTCACCTTGTATGACATGCTGTTGGTGGATGGGGAGGGGTTCTAAATCACACCCCTCCCTTCCCCCCCCCCCCCCCCCCCCCCCCCCCAGTGAGGACTTGGAACCTACACTACACTGGAAGCTGAGGTTCAATTAGGACCAATCTTGCTTGTGATTTTATGTCAGATCATGCTGGTGTCAGACAAGGGACACATTCTAGCCAGGTTTACAGTTATCATGGTTGGTTCAGTGGTGGACAAAATAGGCAGTATAACTGCCATTAAATATCTAATTGAAAAAGCTGATATGGACTTTATGGGCGAGACAGCTGTCTTACTGAGGATGGCAGATATTGGGGATCCAACAGAGTCGTGAATTGAGCTGTTGTGCAGGGACACAATATGCAGGACTAGGCATTGCAGAATGTTAAGCTTGGAAGTTATCTTTGCTTCTGACAGTGTTTTGCTTATGCATTTTCCACATAAGGGGGAGGTGTTAAGACACGATGAAAACCTGACAAAAACATTTGAAAGAGGCGATCAGCGTTTGTGTCTATATTATGAGAAGAGGAACAGACTAACTTATTGTGGCACCTGCAGAGATGTTTAAGTGGCAAGCACTGCTGGCCCAAGTGGTCATGTCGTTAGGTCCAGTCTGAACCACAGATATTATTGTAATGACATGTTCTCCCAGGAAAGCTGAACCAAAAACAGGTACCAGGAGAGTTCTTGGAAAGTAAAGGCTTCCAGCATCATTTTGACCAAATAAAGTACCAGTCTGTCTAAAATTGCAGACTAGCACCATATGTTGGCATCTGTGGCTTAACTCTTTGAGTCCCAAGGAACGCACCATACATTCATAGATACCCACCTAGAGGCCCAGTAAACGCAAGATGCGCTAATTTTACATCTCTCTTGACTACCCCTTGGGCTTTCTGATGCTAAACCCACTGGGACTCAAAGAGTTAGTCTTTTTGAACGCACTTTGCAGTTTCAAGATGCCAGATTTTATCCCAGTTAGAGGCAGCTTGACAGCAGAACTCTTTTTGCTGGTTTTGACAGTGGTATAAAGAGCTTACCTTTCAGAAGCAATGGCAAACTACTGAGTGTAAAACTGCCTAGTGAAATCACAAACAACCAGAAAATTGCCGCTGTTGGTTTTACAACGTCCTGTAAGGAATATGCAGCTAACATTTTGTAAGCGCCATATACTCGATACATCAGGTGGCACGAGGAAATGGCTGCTTTACTTTCCTTCAATTTTCAGGGATGCCATTTGTGGAGTTTGAAAGATAAAGTCCTTCTTCGCAAGTTCCATGGACAGTCACAGGCCTTCTTCACAATCTACTCATGTTTTGGTGGCCTCAACCAAGATTATGTCGCCAGTGGAAGTGAAGGTAAGAGGATGTTTGTATAGAATTTGTAACATAATATTCACATAGTTGAGTTGAGTTGAATTGATTTAAGAAGCACTAGGGGCATTCCTATAAGCGCTCCGGCCCTGTCTTCAGCAGCCAACGCAGAGTTCCAATACCAGTGGTGCCAGTAGCACTCTGATTATACGTCCGTCTTGCCTTTCCTCTGAGTGTCGAGCCTTGGCCACAACCCCTTGCCAGTCTTCCCTGCATCAGTCTCACCAGACTGGTGATCCACTTGCTCCTCCATATTGTACACTTCTCCCACAAGGCCCTAACCATGTCCACCTGTTCATTTCCCAACACACCGGCATGCCCCGGAGAAAAGATCCAGACAGTGCTCCTCACCCATGCCTGTCCTTACCTGCCTCAGCATGCTTTCTGAGTCAGTTACAATCATGATGTGTGTGTGTGTGTGTGTTGTGTTCACTAACCACTGGAAAACTGCAGTGGCCGCATACACCTCCGATCCTAAACTGGATGTTGTCATATCATATGCTGGGATCTTCTGCACCAAATGTCGACCATTAGCTTTTGCTAAGAACCCCTAAGATCTTCTTTTGCCTCTTGACACTGAACCGATAAATAGTCACATCTTCTGAGCGAGCATTATCTTGAATTAATTGCTGAATTTACATCTCTGTGACACCTGCTGGCTGCTGTCTGCGTCCAGAACTTCGTGCAGAGGGTGATCTGTGTCTGCAGCTACTCTGAGATATGTCTTCACCTGCAGCACCTTGAGCTTCATTCATTCATTCAGTAGCATGTCCCTCGCGGAACCTCGCAGCCATAACAACCCTCCGGAAAACCTTCCTATCCTGAGCAAGATGTCCTGCGTCTGATACACCCCTCTGGAGATCATCTGCCATATCCTGCACCCATCTTCTCCTTGGCCTTCCTCTTCCTCTCTTCCCAGGCATATACCCCTCCATTATTGTTCTCTCTAGACTTCCATGACGTTTCAAGTGACCAAAATATTTCAATTTTCTTTGTTTTATTGTCTTTACTAGCCAACCCTCTTCAATATTCAGCTCTTGAAGTATGGATGCATTTGTTCTTTTCTTTACCCAAGATATTCTTAGAACCTGTCTGTAACATTTATATTCAAATGCATTTATGCGCTGTTCCGCTTGTTTAGTAAGTGTCCAGGTCTCACAGGCGTATGTTGCAATGGGAAAGATGCATGCTCTTAAAAATCTGACTTTTGAGCTTACCTGCAACAATTTGCACAACAAGGATGTTTTGACTTCACACCACTGGGACAGAGCAAGAAATGATACTATCAGACATTGTGGGCCTCAGCCAAGATTATGTTGCCAGCAGGAGTGAAGGTTAGATGATATTTATATAGAACTCATAACATTGTATATCACTTAGTGAGATGAGATAGGATGTCTCAGGGATGCCGCCAGTCTAATCTTCTGAGACACAACAAGAAGTCTTCTAACAAGCATGATTAGGGAAGCTTCCTTTGAAGTTTGAGTTTGTCTGCCTTAGAGGCAAGAAACCAACTGCCTGCACACAAATAAGCCAGATCTGTTTAATTTGGATCTCCATGCAGAACTCAAGATCTTGATCCCCCTCACGGGGATCTCATGAAGCAGTAAGCTTGAAGGTAAGGGATTGAGTTCTTCGCTGACTTGCACATGACATTGATATTTTATTGGAGCATTAGTTCAGCTTGTGAAATGTGATCTGTATCAAGTAAGTTGAGAATCCCTATCATGCCTGTTGTCACATCTGGCATATAATGCTAGATCGATAGATTCGTAGACCAATCCACATTTGATGGGTGATATGATAACACCACTCCAGCCACTTCTGCTTCCCAGGACATCACCAGGTCACTCTTGGAACCAAGGTCAGTTAGGAAGAAAAAAAAAATAATCCACCTCAGTGCGGATTTGAACTCACTTTTTGTATGCCTAAATAAAAATGATCTTTTCCTTTCCACAGATCACAAAGTGTTTATTTGGCACACCAAGCGTGAGACCCCAGTAGCCGTGTTAGAGGGTCATCGGCAGACTGTCAACTGTGTACACTGGAATCCAACACAACCAGGCATGCTGGCTAGTGCCTCAGATGATGGTACAGTTCGAATCTGGGGGCCCAGGGAGAAACGGAGAAGGAGAAGTAATTATTTATTGTTTGAAGATCAGTGTGGTAAGACCTGTCTATCTTCTGTATTTACTTTCTTTCTTTCTTCTTTGTGTCTCCTAGACAGTCTTGCTATCTGCTCTTTTTTCTTTCCATCATCCTTGCTATTAACTCAATCACTGCCAAGCAAATCACCTGGCAATTTTTGGTTTCAGCTGGTACACTAAGCTTGTGTTACACTGCAGCCGATACACTAAGCTTGTGTTACACTGCAGCCGATACACTAAACTTGTGTTACACTGCAGCTGATACACTAAACTTGTCTGCACTTCTTGTGACTAGTCCTGTTGTTACACTGCAGCTGATACACTAAACTTGTCTGCACTCCTTGTGACCAGTCCTGTTGTTACACTGCAGCTGATACACTAAACTTGTCTGCACTTCTTGTGACCAGTCCTCTTGTTACACTGCAGCTGATACACTAAACTTGTCTGCACTTCTTGTGACCAGTCCTGTTGTTACACTGCAGCTGATACACTAAACTTGTCTGCACTTCTTGTGACCAGTCCTGTTGTTACACTGCAGCTGATACACTAAACTTGTCTGCACTCCTTGTGACCAGTCCTGTTGTTACACTGCAGCTGATACACTAAACTTGTCTGCACTTCTTGTGACCAGTCCTCTTGTTACACTGCAGCTGATACACTAAACTTGTCTGCACTTCTTGTGACCAGTCCTCTTGTTACACTGCAGCTGATACACTAAACCTGTCTGCACTCCTTGTGACCAGTCCTGTTGTTACACTGCAGCTGATACAGTAAACTTGTCTGCACTTCTTGTGACCAGTCCTCTTGTTACACTGCAGCTGATACACTAAACTTGTCTGCACTCCTTGTGACCAGTCCTCTTGTTACACTGCAGCTGATACACTAAACTTGTCTGCACTCCTTGTGACCAGTCTTGTTGTTACACTGCAGCTGATACACTAAACTTGTCTGCACTCCTTGTGACCAGTCCTCTTGTTACACTGCAGCTGATACACTAAACTTGTCTGCACTCCTTGTGACCAGTCCTCTTGTTACACTGCAGCTGATACACTAAACTTGTCTGCACTCCTTGTGACCAATCTTGTTGTTACACTGCAGCTGATACACTAAACTTGTCTGCACTCCTTGTGACCAGTCCTCTTGTTACACTGCAGCTGATACACTAAACTTGTCTGCACTCCTTGTGACCAGTCTTGTTGTTACACTGCAGCTGATACACTAAACTTGTCTGCACTCCTTGTGACCAGTCTTGTTGTTACACTGCAGCTGATACACTAAACTTGTCTGCACTCCTTGTGACCAGTCCTCTTGTTACACTGCAGCTGATACACTAAACTTGTCTGCACTCCTTGTGACCAGTCTTGTTTGTTACACTGCAGCTGATACACTAAACTTGTCTGCACTCCTTGTGACCAGTCTTGTTGTTACACTGCAGCTGATACACTAAACTTGTCTGCACTCCTTGTGACCAGTCCTCTTGTTACACTGCAGCTGATACACTAAACTTGTCTGCACTCCTTGTGACCAGTCTTGTTGTTACACTGCAGCTGATACACTAAACTTGTCTGCACTTCTTGTGACCAGTCCTCTTGTTACATTGACCCATTAAGACCCTTTTTACCCTAACTCCTACTATTCTGTAATGCTATCATTGTAACTCCTCACACCCAAACGTGGATCCTTTCTCCAGGCTATGCCGGCGTGGTGGGTAATGAACAGTCAGACAGATTGGCTGGATCTGCATTACTTGGTGGTGAATTGATACATTAGAAGGCAGATGTGGTCAAGGCCCTTTGGGAACAAGCAGCGGAATCAGTAGAGAAAGAAGATTACTGTGGCTTGGAGAGAATGAGGCACCTGGGTATAACCAGAGGGTCTGGCCATTTGACTACACTTGGAGAAAAGGCAAGACAGACTTTTAACCAGATTGTGACCGGTACCATCAAACCCTTCGCTGACTGCTGAAGATGAGGACAGAGCATGAATGGGAATGCCCCAAGTACTGTGATGTTAATTCTTGACTCAACTCAAACCAAACGTTTATTCCTTAAAGTCACTAATACTTATGTCAGAATTTGTCAAAATAACACCTGCATGGACTGAAGGAGTTAATTTTCTTTCTTTCTTTCTTTTTTTTTTTTTTAAATCAATTCTTCATTTTTACTTTCTTTGTTTCCTATTTCTTTCTTTCATACTGTTCTTTTTATTTTGTCTCTGTCTCTTTTAAAATCATACCTTGTAATTTACTTCATTAACTCTTTGAGTCCCAGGGGGCTTAGCATCACAGGCCCAAGGGTTGTCAAAAGAAACATGAAATCGGCGCATCATGCATTCATTGGGCTTCTAGGTAGGATGCGTTTCTTGGGACTCAAAGAGTTAACATAAATTGGGACACTCACATTCTTAATTTGCCCAACTAAAGAAAGGGCAGAGCTCTAAATGAATTGAAGCCTTACAGACAAGGACAAAAGATAACTATGCTAGTAATGAAGGAATATAAGAGAAATTGTGACATTCAAGGAGAACCAGTATCATTTTGTTAAACTTTTTCAGTCCCAGAAGATTTCTCAGTGGCTACTTACCAGGAAAAAATTACTATAAAAATTTGTAATAACATAATTTAAAAAAAAAACAAGGAGGGGGGGGGGGGGGGGGGGGGGGGGGGGGGGGGGGGGGGGGGCGGGGGGTGGGGGGGGGGGGGGGGGGGGGGGGGGGGGTGGGGGGGGGGGAATGGGCAAACAGTGCAAAAGCCAGATTTCTTTAGTATGCTATTACCAAATCTACACGATGTGTTATAAGACATTGCATGTTGATTAGGACTCAAGGTGTAAGAGCGATTCACATCTTACTTGGGATTGAAAGAGTTGAGGAAAATAAAGAGAATAAGATAAGCTGCTTTGGCCATCTGACTAGGATGGCCTGAATTTTGCAGCCACATAGAGCCATGTAGAGGAAATATCATAAACACAGAACAAGGGTAAGATCACATAGGGATGGAACAACTGTGTCAATAACAGACTTCGACATATGAAGACTAGCTTATCGAACAATTTAGAAAGAGCACTCAATACAGACCAGCTTATCCAACAATTTAGAAAGAGCACACAATATTGACCAGGTTATCCAACAATTTAGAAAGAGCACACAATATAGACCAGCTTATCCAACAATTTAGAAAGAGCACACAATATAGACCAGCTTATCCAACAATTTAGAAAGAGCACACAATATAGACCAGCATATCCAACAATTTAGAAAGAGCACACAATATAGACCAGCTTATCTAACAATTTAGAAAGAGCACACAATATAGACCAGCTTATCCAACAATTTAGAAAGAGCACACAATATAGACCAGCATATCCAACAATTTAGAAAGAGCACACAATATAGACCAGCTTATCCAACAATTTAGAAAGAGCACACAATATCTTCCCCCAACATTCCACTAAGGTAATTGGAGGAAAAGAAGAAGCAGAAGACAATCAAAGTCGTTAAACACTCGAGGAAAATACAGTATTTAAAAAAAACCACTGGGACGATATAGTGAAACTAGTGAGGGAAAATACATTTGGATGATATAATGGAAATGTTCAGGGAAAATACATGCTTCTTAGAGAAGCCTACTTCTTTGTGTTCACAAACTCACCGACTGTAAACTCTGGCAGAAAGTGCTGGATGTTCATGTATTTAAGGAGTTTAGTCTTGTTTCAGAACTTGAGTTTTGTATGCACAATCGTTTTCCAGATATGGCTTAATTGTAAACAGGCTGTTGGTTCCTCACAGATGCTGTCCCACTTTGATAGAAACACCCGTAATTAGTTGAGCTTTATGAAATTCTTGTTTTATGTGACAGTGTACGTTTGTTATAATGTCAGTGAAATTGTAATTGTCCTCCTCTGTCTGTCTGCAGGCAGCAGTAGCAGTGACAGTTCTGGCCGCACTTCTCCAGTATGACACAAGACCTAGTCTCGGAATAGTCCACAAGTGTCTGATATCGTCAGTTAGTCATTTTCTCAACACTGCTCTTCAATTATTTTTTGTTTTGTTTTACATTATTGTTTCATCAGTTTCTCATCTCCTTCTTACCTCATAACTTCTCAGACTATCACAAAAGACTTAATCTGTAAAAAAATCAACACATTTAAAACTCTCCAGTTGACTTGTTTATCAGTTTCTCAACACTCCTCTTCAGTTTTTTTAATTACATTTTCTGATTACCTAATTTCCCATCAGATTATGGGCTAATGAATTTTTCATTGAAATGCCATCAGTTTTTCAGAGCTTCATCAGCTAAAGAATTTCTCATTTTCCCACATTTCCTCATCAACTCATTGATTTCCCACATTTCCTCATCAACTCATTGATTTCCCACATTTCCTCATCAGCTCATTGATTTCCCACATTTCCTCATCAACGCATTGATTTCCCACATTTCCTCATCAACTCATTGATTTCCCACATTTCCTCATCAACTCATTGATTTCCCACATTTCCTCATCAACTCATTGTTTTCCCACATTTTTCTCATCAACGCTCCTCATCAACTCATTGATTTCCCACATTACCTCATCAACTCATTGATTTCCCACATTTCCTCATCAACTCATTGATTTCCCACATTTCCTCATCAACTCATTGATTTCCCACAATTCTTCATCAACTTATTGATTTCCCACATTTCCTCATCAACTCATTGATTTCCCACATTTCCTCATCAACTCATTGATTTCCCACATTTCCTCATCAACTCATTGATTTCCCACATTTCCTCATCAACTCATTGATTTCCCACATTTCCTCATCAACTCATTGATTTCCCACATTTCCTCATCAACTCATTGATTTCCCACATTTCCTCATCAACGCATTGATTTCCCACATTTCCTCATCAACTCATTGATTTCCCACATTTCCTCATCAACTCATTGATTTCCCACATTTCCTCATCAACTCATTGATTTCCCACATTTCCTCATCAACTCATTGATTTCCCACATTTCCTCATCAACTCATTGATTTCCCACATTTCCTCATCAGCTCATTGATTTCCCACATTTCCTCATCAGCTCATTGATTTCCCACATTTCCTCATCAACTCATTGATTTCCCACATTTTCTCATCAACTCATTGATTTCCCACATTTCCTCATCAACTCATTGATTTCCCAAATTCCCTGATTAACTCATTGATTTCCCACATTTCCTCATCAACTCATTGATTTCCCACATTACCTCATCAACTCATTGATTTCCCACATTTCCTCATCAACTCATTGATTTCCCACATTTCCTCATCAACCCATTGATTGCCCACATTACCTCATTAACTCATTGATTTCCCACATTTCCTCATCAACTTATTGATTTCCCACATTTCATGATTAACTCATTGATTTCCCACATTTCTTCATCAGCTCATGTATCTCTTATCATTTACCCATCATTTCATCAGCAAAAGGCTTCTCATGTGTGTGTGAATGTGTGTGTATGTATGTATGTGTGTGTATGTATGTGTGTATGTATATGTACATGTGTGGGTGTGTGTGCATGTTTGTATGTATGTGGATGTATGTGTGAGTGAGTGAATGTTTTTGGGTGGGTGTGTGTGTTCGCGCGCGAGCGTGTGCACATATTTTACCACCCATGCTTTTGTTTTTTACTTGATATTCATAATACGCTTATTATTACATGAACATGACATGCTTTATTGATGAAATACAACTGCTGTGTGAAAGATGGTAGTTTGGAAGGGCCGAATGTTAAGACAGGTCTGTGTGCCTAATTTTGACCCTTTGAAAATAAAGTTTGTTCATTCATTCGTTCATCCTGTCACCAGCTGATCATTATCTCATCATATTGTCAGTTTTCAGCTCATCAGTGTCTCAGGACACTCTAGCTTACCATATCATCAGCTTATAACTAACTTTCTTATGAGGTCATCATTTCTTAAAATCTGATCACTTCTCATCATTTTGTCGTCATGTCGCAGCTTATCATTTTCTCATATCCTCAGTGTCTCCCTGTATCACTTGCCCATCATTTTCTCATCACTGGCATTATCAGTTTTTGTGTGTGACATTGCAAGTTCATCAGATAAGTACATTATATGACATCATATTATTATTTTAACACTTTCTGTGCATACACTGTTTGTTTCTATATTCGGGCTGATGTATTACTGTTTATAGTCATTGTCAATCAAATTACCTTTTACAGTGTAATGTTGTGTTGTTTTGTTTCGTTTTTCTTTTAGGTTTTTTTGTTTACATTTTAATATACTGTTAGATTAATCAGATGTTATGTTGTATATTACTTTACTTACTCAATCCTCTTATACCCTGGAGTGTAGAGGTTTGCCAGAGAGATCACCAGACTTCTCTATCAGCAGTTTTATTTTTGGCTTCTTTTCAAACTGGTCCTCTCTTAGCCAGAGACTGTCGGATGTCTCAGTGAACTCTGGGTCATCGTGGAGGTCTGGTTCCCTTGTTCTTGACCTCCCTTGTCTGTCATGGTGGCTGATTCGATCCCATTCTGCAAACATGTCAAAACCATTGTAACCCTGACTGATCTACTGGAGTTTGTAAGGCCTGGGTTTCAAGATCATGATGTCTTGTGTGGTTGCAGTCTTTGTCCCTTCTTGTTACTTGGACCACTTTTCTCAGATACCTCATATCTGAGGCCTGAAACTGGCCTCTGTGAGCTGTTGTGATTGCTCATGACTCACACCGCTGGGTCAGGACTGGCACATACATGCAGCTATTTTTGTTCTCTTGCCAATTTCTCTTTTGCTGAAAAACCTAATGTTGTTTATAATTACATGAAATAAGGAACCGTTGTAGGCAGCTTTATATATCAGTACGTGAAATAAGGAACCAGGGGTTTGTAGCTTTGTATATCAGTACATGAAGGTACTTGAAATCAGATGATATCGTTTCAGTGTGGATAGTGCAGTGACTTGCTAGTAGGATCAAGCTGAGTTCAGTCATCAGTCAAGAACGAATTGTTTTTCCGTGTCCAAAATTATTAGTGGGATGAAAGGGATAATGCCATAGATTAGAGTATATCTAACACTTATAAGACTTAAGATTTTATACAAGGGAGCAGAAGAATATATGACTCAATAGTCGTAGAAATACCACACCAAAGGGGAAAGTAGGCAGCAGGTTAGTAAAGATACAAGTAAGAAAATAACACAAAATAATGAAAAAGCACCACTTCTGAGATAGTGCAAGCAAAAGACAAAAAGTATTTAAGATTAGTTATCCCCAACTACCTGTTGGGGTTCTGGGGCCCATGTTGAGGTTCTGGGGCCCCATGTTGAGGTTCCAGGGCCCCATGTTGAGGTTCCAGGGCCCCATGTTGGGGTTCTGAGGCCCCATGTTGAGGTTCCAGGGCCCCATGTTGGGGTTCTGGGGCCCCATGTTGAGGTTCCAGGGCCCCATGTTGAGGTTCCAGGACCCCATGTTGAGGTTCCAGGGCCCCATGTTGAGGTTCCAGGGCCCCATGTTGGGATTCTGGGGCCCCATGTTGGGGTTCTAGGGCCCCATGTTGAGGTTCCAGGACCCCATGTTGGGATTCTGGGGCCCCATGTTGGGGTTCTAGGACCCCATGTTGAGGTTCCAGGGCCCCATGTTGAGGTTCCAGGGCCCCATGTTGAGGTTCCAGGACCCCATGTTGAGGTTCCAGGGCCCCATGTTGAGGTTCCAGGACCCCATTTTGGGGCAAAAGAAAGAACATACCCACTGCGCCCTCCTCCCCTTTTCACTGACTGGATATTTTCTCCAGATCATACCGGTGTGGTGGGGAATGAGCAGGCAGATAGATTGGCTGGCTGTGCCCCACTTGGTGGTGAATTGATGTATGAGAATTTAGATATGGTAAGGGTCCTTTGGGAGTGAGTGAACAGTGCAGAGGCACAGATAGATCATTATGGTCTAAGAAAAATGGCGTTGTGAGGAGTTACCATGGGAACTAGCTCAACATTCAGGAGAGGGATGAGACAGATATAAAATCAGATGGTTACTGGTACCATCGGAATTAGAACTCTTCCATTGCTATTATTGAAGATGGTGACTGAGCACTTATGGGAGTGTCCCAAGTGCTGTGATGTTGATTCTTAATTAAGCATTTAACATTCACTGACAAGTAAGCTATTTGCTGTTCTCTCTGAAATGTTGAGTCCCAAGTGTGTACTGCTCTAGATAGCCAGCAATATACATTGAGTGAAAGATACTAATCCCCCCCCCCCCCTTCCCTGACTACTTTAAATTATATCTTAGGATAAATAAACTGATTATAGGCTGAAAGAGGTAAACATTGAAATCATCATGCTGGACATCAGGCCTTGTCTGCAGCAGACCAGACTCATTGAGTGTTGTCAGTGTCAGGCTGGACATCAGGCCTTGTCTGCAGCAGACCAGACTCATTGAGTGTTGTCAGTGTCAGGCTGGACATCAGGTCTTGTCTGCAGCAGACCAGACTCATTGAGTGTTGTCAGTGTCAGGCTGGACATCAGGTCTTGTCTGCAGCAGACCAGACTCATTGAGTGTTGTCAGTGTCAGGCTGGACATCAGGCCTTGTCTGCAGCAGACCAGACTCATTGAGTGTTGTCAGTGTCAGGCTGGACATCAGGTCTTGTCTGCAGCAGACCAGACTCATTGAGTGTTGTCAGTGTCAGGCTGGACATCAGGTCTTGTCTGCAGCAGACCAGACTCATTGAGTGTTGTCAGTGTCAGGCTGGACATCAGGTCTTGTCTGCAGCAGACCAGACTCATTGAGTGTTGTCAGTGTCAGGCTGGACATCAGGTCTTGTCTGCAGCAGACCAGACTCATTGAGTGTTGTCAGTGTCAGGCTGGACATCAGGTCTTGTCTGCAGCAGACCAGACTCATTGAGTGTTGTCAGTGTCAGGCTGGACATCAGGTCTTGTCTGCAGCAGACCAGACTCATTGAGTG